CCACCACCTCGAAGGATCTCAACACCTCCACCACCTCGAAGGATCTCAACACCATCACCGCCTCAAAGGATCTCAACACTTTCACTCTCATCAGAAGCAGCTGCATCATCACCAGCAGCAGCACCTGCTGCACGACCACCACCACCAACATCCTCATCCCCAGCCTGCTCCAAAGCAGCCACGCCTTCCTCATCTACAGCGCCTCTGAAGCCCCCATCCTCACCCCAGCCTACAGCAGACAGGCCTGTGCTGGGGTTTCCTCAACCACCTGCCCCTCCATCAAAGACTCCCTCGCCACCTCCCATGGACCTGTCTTGGGTGCCCCCTGCCACGTCCACTCCATCAAGAGAGAATGGGGACACGTCCCTTTGTTTTTCATCCCCGCCTTCACTGTTAGACCTACCTGAACACTCTGCAGGGCTAATAAAATCGGCGATGAAGACTATTCCTCTCACACCCATATTAGCTAGATCTAGGATCCTGTCCAACATTCTAAACCACTCCCCATATGTACCTCCAAAACCACCTAGGGTTTCCAATTCACCTACAAAAACCACCTCAGCCAGTCCCTCCCCTAACCTCATGACCATTCCACCCCCACTTCCCCCTCGTTCAACATCCAAAACCTCTGCCCACCCCGGCCCTAACCCATCACCAAAAACCCCTCCACCTCCCTGCCCCCCTCGTTCAACACCCAAAAGCCACCCACCTCTCCATCCTCCTCCCCCGCCTTCCCCTTCCCCTCTTTTCTCTAAACACTAGGATGCACAGGGTCTCTGCTTCGCAGCCACTGGCAGTCTAGTTAGAGGAGAGACCCGGCTGGGGCCCTGTCATGAAGCCACCTGTGCCATTCCCTTAGTGATAACACAAAGAATACATTACAGAAAGACATCTGGAGTTAATCAGTCTAATCTGGAAAATCTAATTCTTGTTCTGTTTAAGAATCAGCCGACCACAACCGCTGATACTGAAACTTTGAAACTTGCTACGCTTAATGTCAGATCTCTTTGTAACAAGTCTTTTTTAATCAATAATTTTATTTGTTCTCATAATCTTGATCTTATGTTCATGGCTGAAACTTGGCTTGACCAAAATTCAGGAAATGCAGTTTTAATAGAAGCATCACCACCAAATTTCAAATTTGAATCTGAAATACGGGAAAACAAAAAAGGAGGAGGCTTAGCTGCCATTTTCAGAGACCACTTTGTCTCCCATAGAATGTCTCTTGGGAAGTTTTTGTCATTTGAATATGTGTCTTTTAAAATACAACAAAAACAATCTCCTCCAATACTCTTCATTGTCCTATAAAAGCCACCGCAGTCATGTCACAGTTTTATTGATAATTTTACCGAGTTGCTTTCAGTTGTATGCACAGATTTTGATAGTTTAGTTATTACAGGTGATTTTAATATTCATGTGGATAATGTTGATGACAAAAATGCAAATGAGCCGAGTTCTGTACTTGAATCCTTTGATCTCACTCAGCACGTAAGTGGCCCCACCCACAGCAGAGGGCACACTCAAGATCTGTTAGGTACTAAGGGGGTGAACATTTCAAATGTAAACGTGGTCGATGTTGCTCTTTCGGATCATTTCTGGGGTTTTTTTGACATGTGTTTCACTAACAAGCTGAGCTTATGTGACATACTTGTCCCTATTCAAATAAACTTAAATAAAATAAACAAACCACCAGTGGACTCTGCAACTGTTAAAAGAAGGCGCATAAATGAAAATACGAGTGAACTATTTATGGGAATGATAAACTTTGAGAATGCATCGTATTCTACTGTAGATGAACTGTTTAACTCTGTCACCTCTAGTGTTTTGATTGTTCTGGACACCATCGCTCCTGTGAAGGTTAAAATAGTGAAAAATAAGCAGAAGGCGCCGTGGGCTAAAGCAGACTCGGTCAGGGCACAAAAAAGAAAGTGCCGGAGGGCCGAGCGGAAGTGGCGCAAGTCCAACCTCCAGGTTGATTAAGAGATCTTCAAAGATAAGTTGTGCGAGTTTAACCGGGTGCTACGTAGTACGAGAGAAAGATATTTTTCTGAAATGATTGAAGGCTGCAGCAACAGTCTGCGTGTTCTGTTCTCAACAGTTAATAGATTAACAAACCCCCCTGTTCAAATGCCATTAGAGCTTACTTCCAAACGAAAATGCAATGAGTTTGCTAATTTTTTCAATGACAAGGTTCAAGGCATCAAAAACGCCATTGTCTCCAATCCACAGATAACCATCCAACAACCAGAAAAGCTCTTTGAGCTAACTTACTTTGCACCTGTAAATGATAAAACTGTCCAAGAGATAATCTCCAGTTTGAGCTCCTCCACATGCAGCCTGGATGTACTACCCACTAGATTTCTGAAATCTGTTCTGAGCAGTCTGTTACCTTCACTCACACAGATAGTAAACATGTCCCTTCATTCTGGAATATTCCCAAAGGCCCTGAAAACGGCAGTCATCAGGCCCCTGCTAAAAAAGAGTAGTCTGGATGCTACGGTACTTAACAACTATCGTCCCATCTCAAATCTGCCATTTATGGGGAAAGTCCTTGAGAAAGTTGTCTACCTACAGCTTACTAGATTTCTTATAATCAGCAACTCGTTTGATATGTTTCAGTCCGGCTTTAGACCCCACCACAGCACTGAGACTGCTCTCGTTAAGGTTACAAACGATATCCGGCTGAACACTGACGCAGGCAAAGTCTCAATCTTAATCTTGTTAGATCTAAGTGCTGCCTTTGACACTGTCGACCATGAGATCCTCTTACAGAGACTAGAGGACTGGGTTGGAGTCACTGGCACCGCCCTAAGTTGGTTTAGGTCTTACCTTGAAGACAGGAAGTACTTTGTGGAGATTGGAAACTGTGTCTCAGATCATATGGCCCTGACCTGTGGAGTACCACAGGGGTCGATCCTGGGACCTCTTCTGTTCAATCTCTACATGCTGCCGTTAGGTCAGTTAATACGCAGAAACAAAGTGTCCTATCACAACTATGCAGACGACACTCAGATCTATGTCTCACTGACTGCAGGAGAACATGGACCAGTGGACTCACTCCTTCACTGTATCCAACAGATCAGTGAGTGGATGCAAAACAACTTCCTTCAGCTAAACGCAGACAAAACTGAAATGATTGTCTTTGGTCCCCAGAAACAAAGAGAGAGCGTCATCTGTCACCTCCAGTCTCTCTCCCTAAAACCTTCAAACAAGGTCAGAAATCTAGGGGTAATACTGGACTCAAACTTAAATTTTAATAGCCACATCAAATCAGTAACATCAGCAGCTTTTTACCATCTAAAAAACATTGCCAGGATCAAAAACATAGTGTCTAAAGCAGACTTGGAGATTCTTATCCATGCATTTGTCTCCAGTAGGTTAGACTACTGCAATGGCCTGCTCACAGGTCTGTCCAAACAGGCTGTAAAACAGCTGCAGTACATTCAAAATGCAGCAGCTCCAGTCCTGACTAGAACCAGGAAGTACGACCATATTAGTCCTGACTAGAACCAGGAAGTACGACCACATTAGTACTGACTAGAACCAGGAAGTACGACCACCTTAGTCCGGTCCTCAGGTCTCTGCACTGGCTTCCTGTGGCTCAGAGAATAGACTTTAAAACAGCTCTGCTTGTTACAAGTCTCTCCATGGCCTCGCACCAAAATATATTAGTGACATGTTAGTCCCATATGAACCAGCCCGGACTCTGAGGAGCACAGGGACTGGACTCCTGCCGGGAATCTGAGGAGCACAGGGACTGGACTCCTGTTAGTGTCCAGAGTCAGGACTATTATTATTATTTATTTATGATTTTAATGCTTTCTTCTTTTGTTCAGCACTTTGAACTGCCTTGTGTATGAATTGTGCTATATAAATAAACTTGCCTTGCCATGTAACTTACAAATGACAATATATATAAACTAGGGCCGGGAATTTAACGTGTTAATTAAGATGAATTAATTTAGCAAACAGCGTACGGGCATAAAAAGCGTCTGTTGTCGTCAGAGTGTGGAGGTGATGACAGAAACGTTCTTTGATGGGAAAGAAGTTATCCCTGATCCTCCACAATGAACATGTGTTGCTTAAGTTTATGTATTCAGTCATTATTCAAGATATACCAAAAATCCATGTGAAAGAAAGAAAGGAAAGAAAAAATAACTTCTCACTGTTTTCAGGTCCATCCATTTTCTTCCGCTTAATCCATTTCTGGGTCAGGGGGGTGGCAGTCAGAGCTGCACCCAGTCCACAGAGCACCAGCCCCTCACTGATCCTCCTGCAGGTGGTGAGTACCAAACTTTTGGTGACTGTTTTCAGGTCAAATATTTAAATGCAATTAACTCTGACCTTGTAAAGTTCAAAGGTCAGTATTGTGCGCATGACGCAGCGTTTGTTGCCCTCTAACAATCTAAAGACAAAGCCAAAACATGTCAGAAACAAGAAAGAAAACATCATTTTCACGACGAATGGGAGGTAGAGTTCTGTTACCACTGTGAAAGGATCCTGCGTGTGTTTCATTTGCGGGGCAACTGTGGCAATAGCAAAGCGGCACAATGTGGAGAGACATTTCACTGTGTCACACAAGCTACAATGCTAACTACCACCGGGCTAACTACCACCGGGCTAACTACCACCGGGCTAACTACCACCGGGCAGCGCACTACGGGCAGAAAAAGCCAGTTAAAGGCAGCTCTGGGCAAACAGCCGGTTAAAAACTCCCAAAAAGCAACCGAAGCCTCGTTTAGAGCTACGCAATTCTTGATGAAGAAAAAGAAGGCATTTACCGACGGGGAGGTAGTCAAAGAAGCAATGATGATAATTGCTAAAATTGTGCTTGAAGACGAGAAGTATGGAACCGATGTACTCTCCAGTCTCTGCCATGTTCAACTCGGGGCCACTACAATGGTAAGAAGAGTGTCGGCGATGTCTGGACCGTGATCTGGCGAGGTGCCAGTGGTTCAGTATCCAGTGTGATGAGTCGGTGGTCAGCAGCAGTACAGCTGATGGTCTTTATCCGGATGGTGTTTGATGAAGAACTTCTGACACTACTGCCCCTGAAGACAACTACGAGGGGAGTTGACATTTATAACGCAGTCAAAGAGTTTTTGGTGGAAAAAAAGGTGCCGCTGGAAAAGCTGGCATCAGTGACCACGGATGGGGCTCCTGCTATGATCGGCCGACACACAGGATTGGTTGCTCACTGTAAAGCTGACCCAGAGTTCCCAAACTTTCTGCAGTACCACTGCATCATACACCAGCAGGCCTTATGTGCAAAAGTGATCGGCTTTGAGCACGTAATGAGTCCTGTCGTAAAGATCATTAACAGCATTCGCTCCAGAGCTAAACAGCACAGAACATTGAAGGTACTTTTGGAGGAGCTGTCAGCTGAATACGGGGACCTGCTACTACACACAGAAATCCAATGGCTCAGCAGGGGACCAAGTTTGCAACGTTTTTTGTCACTTTTGGCTGAAATCAAAGAGTTCATGCAGTCCAGAGGTGAGGACACCGTGCTGCTGGAGGACACTGAGTGGATACTTGACCTTGCATTTTTAACGGACATTACTGGAAAACTGAACAGTTTGAACTGTGCGCTGCAAGGCAAAGGTAAAACTGTCGCCGATATGATAAGTGCTTTAAATGCATTTAAAAGCTAAGATGACCCTTTTCTCTGTGCATTTACAGAGAAAAAAAGTGCTGCACTTTCCCTCTGTGCAGATGGTGCTGAAAGACAATGCTTCTGCATCTGAGGCTTTTGACACAGTTGCAGAAAAGTACTCTCAGGTCATAAACAGAGTTGGACAAGAGTTTGAGAACAGGTTTTGTGACCTGGATCAGCTTGAGCCATGTGTGTTGTTCATTTCTAATCCTTTCATGGACGTGGACATATCCTGCATTGCTGAGCAGTGAAGTGCAACATTCAGCCTGGATGCTGAACAGGTGGACATTGAAATTGTAACACTGCAAAATGACCTCCCCCTCAAAGCCCACCAGGCTGCACCAAACTTTTGGTGCCTGTTTGACAGAGAAAAGAACAGTGGTGTACGTGCAGCAGCTATGAAGGCTGCGAGCCTTATCTTTGTGAATCAGCCTTTTCTGATATGAACTTCCTCAAGCACAAACACAGAACACGGCAAACTGATGCATATCTGCAAGACTCACTCAGAGTCGCAGTGTCAAGTTACACACCAGAGACATTTGTCTGTTTTATTTGGTTTTTTCTCTACTTTTAATGTTTTATGTCTGTATTTTTCTGTGCACACTGGAGACTTTTGCTAATATATTCCAATGTGGTGTTTTCATTGCAAATGGCAAATAAAATGAATCTGAATCTGAGAGTACAACACACTAGTTAACAGCGTGCAATGCCAGGCTTCCCACTAACTGACAAACATAACAGTGGTGTCCAGTTCAAAGTGTGACATGATTTATTTAAACCTTTGAGAGTTGACTTTTGTGTTTTACATGAGTTATTATTTGTACAAACATGGTGCAAAGTAATTCATGATTTGTTAAAAATGTTAGTTAGCTGTGTCAGGCTATGTTGTTGGCTAGCTAGTTAAAATGGGGTATTGTGATGTCACAAGACTGTCTTTGTACTAAAGGCCCCTCTGTTTCATTGCATGTATATTACTACTGTTTGTTTACCTGTTGTTCCGTGAGTGTCCATTAGAGGGCGCCTCTACCTTTTACCTGAGTCAGACGTGACGAGAGTGAAAACACCCTTTTCTTGCTACAAATATAAGTGTCAGATGCAGTCTGTTGTTGTGGTCCAAAGTGTGCGTTCATGACAAAAGTAAGTACCTAAGAACTTCTGATGGTTGTAAACCTGTGTTTAAGTGTTTTAGTTCATTCAAGAGCCTTTTATATATATATAATATATATATATATATATATATGTGGCCACGTTGCCTGTGTAGCTGCAGGGAGCTAAGCTAGCTGTTCTGTGCAATGTGGAATGTATCTGGGCCAGGCTGTTGGCACTGTTGATAAAGTGCCTATTATTTTAGTATTTTGATGTTCTTTATAACCCTGTTATATTGTGTTTGTATGGAGATGAGCACTTTGTAATTTAGTCTTTATTTGTGTTGCAGATACCACACACACACTCACACAAACAGGCACACACCCAAACCTGTACTCAGACCCTCTGTTCAATACAAAGGCAAAGTATCAACCCGTCTCGTCAATGTCTCCCCTCTGCATATCATTTTGGCTCAAGTAGTGTTCTGGCCGACCCTCCAGGACAGTAAGTGCTTCAATACCAAACCAGCACCTTCTATACAGTCCTTACAGTCCACCCCTGAGGTATCTATCCTACAGTCTGAGGTATCTATCCTACAGTCTGAGGTATCTATCCTACAGTCTGAGGTATCTATCCTACAGTCTGAGGTATCTATCCTACAGTCTGAGGTATCTATCCTACAGTCTGAGGTATCTGTCCTACAGTCTGAGGTATCTATCCTACAGTCTGAGGTATCTATCCTACAGTCTGAGGTATCTGTCCTACAGTCTGAGGTATCTATCCTACAGTCTGAGGTATCTATCCTACAGTCTGAGGTATCTATCCTACAGTCTGAGGTATCTACCCTACAGTCTGAGGTATCTATCCTACAGTCTGAGGTATCTATCCTACAGTCTGAGGTATCTGTCCTACAGTCTGAGGTATCTATCCTACAGTCTGAGGTATCTATCCTACAGTCTGAGGTATCTATCCTACAGTCTGAGGTATCTATCCTACAGTCTGAGGTATCTATCCTACAGTCTGAGGTATCTATCCTACAGTCTGAGGTATCTATCCTACAGTCTGAGGTATCTACCCTACAGTCTGAGGTATCTATCCTACAGTCTGAGGTATCTATCCTACAGTCTGAGGTATCTATCCTACAGTCTGAGGTATCTATCCTACAGTCTGAGGTATCTATCCTACAGTCTGAGGTATCTATCCTACAGTCTGAGGTATCTATCCTACAGTCTGAGGTATCTATCCTACAGTCTGAGGTATCTGTCCTACAGTCTGAGGTATCTATCCTACAGTCTGAGGTATCTATCCTACAGTCTGAGGTATCTATCCTACAGTCTGAGGTATCTATCCTACAGTCTGAGGTATCTACCCTACAGTCTGAGGTATCTATCCTACAGTCTGAGGTATCTGTCCTACAGTCTGAGGTATCTATCCTACAGTCTGAGGTATCTATCCTACAGTCTGAGGTATCTATCCTACAGTCTGAGGTATCTATCCTACAGTCTGAGGTATCTATCCTACAGTCTGAGGTATCTATCCTACAGTCTGAGGTATCTACCCTACAGTCTGAGGTATCTATCCTACAGTCTGAGGTATCTATCCTACAGTCTGAGGTATCTATCCTACAGTCTGAGGTATCTATCCTACAGTCTGAGGTATCTACCCTACAGTCTGAGGTATCTATCCTACAGTCTGAGGTATCTATCCTACAGTCTGAAGTATCTATCCTACAGTCTGAGGTATCTATCCTACAGTCTGAGAAGTGATCGTTTGGAAATGTTACACTTGAAAAATGTGTTGCATATTGATATTTATCTGTTTCTTTATATATTTATTGTGAGAAATCATTAAGATGATCAGTGTTTCCACAAAGATAAATATCATTAATTATTAATAATAACATAGAGTTAAAGGTAAATTGAGCAAATTGGTTATTTCTGGCAATTTATGTAAATGTGCAACAAACTGGTCGCCCTTCGCATTAATCAGTGCCTGAGAAGTAGCTCTTGGTTTCAAAAAGGTTGGTGACCCATGGTCCAGAGGTTACACATGGTAAGACCAGACGTACATGTAGGAGATGATCATGGACCAGAGTTTACACATGGTAAGACCAGACGTACATGTAGGAGATGATCATGGACCAGAGTTCACACATGGTAAGACCAGACGTACATGTAGGAGATGATCATGGACCAGAGTTTACACATGGTAATACCAGACGTACATGTAGGAGATGATCATGGACCAGAGTTCACACATGGTAAGACCAGACGTACATGTAGGAGATGACCATGGACCAGAGTTTACACATGGTAAGACCAGACGTACATGTAGGAAATGATCATGGACCAGAGTTTACACATGGTAAGACCCATGGACCAGAGTTTACACATGGTAAGACCAGACGTACATGTAGGAGATGATCATGGACCAGAGTTTACACATGGTAAAACCAGACGTACCGATCAGGAAGCTGCTGAGCACGGCCGTGGGGAGGGTCATGTTGTCCCAGGACACTTCACTGAAGAGGTCAGAGGCCGCGAGGACCAGAGTGACGTTCTCCACCAACATGAACTACAACACATGGTGTGCAAGGACCATCAAGACCATCAGGAACATCAAGACCATCAGGACCATCAGGACCATCAAGACCATCAAGACCATCAAGACCATCAGGACCATCAAGACCATCAAGACCATCAAGACCATCAGGACCATCAGGACCATCAAGACCATCAGGACCATCAGGACCATCAGGACCATCAAGACTATCAGGACTGTCAAGACCATCAATACCGTTAAAACTATCAGGACCATCAAGACCATCAGGACCATCAGGACCATCAGGACCATCAGGACCATCAGGACCATCAAGACCATCAGGACCATCAGGACCATCAAGACCATCAGGACTATCAGGACCATCAAGACTATCAGGACCATCAAGACCATCAAGACTATCAGGACCATCAAGACTATCAAGACCATCATGATACTCAAGACCATCAGGACCATCAGGACCATCAAGACTATCAGGACCATCAAGACCATCAAGACTATCAGGACCATCAAGACTATCAAGACCATCAGGATACTCAAGACCATCAGGACCATCAAGACCATCAGGACCATCAAGACTATCCATTACCATCAAGACTATCGGGACCATCAAGACTATCAGGACCATCAAGACCATCAGGACCATCAAGACCATCAGTTTGAATATAAAAGTAAAAGTTACAGATTTCACTTTGACTGTTTGAGCCACAAGAACAAATATGATGGTTTCAGAGAGGTTGCCAGATTGAATGCTAATAATCAGCTAAACGTCCTTACGGCGTAGAAGCTCGCCATGCGGAAGCGCGAGGGGCCGTCCTTCACGTTGAGGAAGAGGAAGACGTGCACCAGCCCCAGCACCGCGTTGAAGGCCCTCCAGCACCAGGGGCCCGTGCAGATGTCAGGCTGCTGCGACACCAGCCAGAAGGAGGCGGTCAGCCAGTGGAAGCCTGCAACACACACACACAGAGAGACACAGAGACACACACAGACACACACAGAGAGAGACACACAAACACACACACAGACACACACAGAGAGAGACACACACACAGACACACACAGAGAGACACACACAAACACACACACAGACACACACAGAGACACACACAGACACACACAGAGAGAGACACACAAACACACACACAGACACACACAGAGAGAGACACACACACAGACACACACAGAGAGACACACACAAACACACACACAGACACACACAGAGAGAGACACACACAAACACACACACAGACACAGAGACACACACACACAGAGAGAGACACAGACACACACACACACACACACACACAGAGACACACACAGACAGACACACACACACACACACAAAACATGGTGAGTGTGAAAAACTGACCATAAGCACTTCTCGATTGGGCTAAATTGAATTAGCGGTTTAGCATTGTCCATCTGTATACAGTCTGTGTTAGCATTAGCATCTGTATACAGTCTGTGTTAGCATTAGCATCTGTATACAGTCTGTGTTAGCATTATCATCTGTATACAGTCTGTGTTAGCATTAGCATCTGTATACAGTCTGTGTTAGCATTAGCATCTGTATACAGTCTGTGTTAGCATTAGCATCTGTATACAGTCTGTGTTAGCATTAGCATCTGTATACAGTCTGTGTTAGCATTAGCATCTGTATACAGTCTGTGTTAGCATTAGCATCTGTATACAGTCTGTGTTAGCATTAGCATCTGTATACAGTCTGTGTTAGCATTAGCATCTGTATACAGTCTGTGTTAGCATTAGCATCTGTATACAGTCTGTGTTAGCATTATCATCTGTATACAGTCTGTGTTAGCATTAGCATCTGTATACAGTCTGTGTTAGCATTAGCATCTGTATACAGTCTGTGTTAGCATTAGCATCTGTATACAGTCTGTGTTAGCATTAGCATCTGTATACAGTCTGTGTTAGCATTAGCATCTGTATACAGTCTGTGTTAGCATTAGCATCTGTATACAGTCTGTGTTAGCATTAGCATCTGTATACAGTCTGTGTTAGCATTAGCATCTGTATACAGTCTGTGTTAGCATTAGCATCTGTATACAGTCTGTGTTAGCATTAGCATCTGTATACAGTCTGTGTTAGCATTAGCATCTGTATACAGTCTGTGTTAGCATTAGCATCTGTATACAGTGTGTATAATTGCGTCCTGACCTGCCACGCCGCAGACCCACCACCTGAAGACCCGTGCAAAGAACATGAGGCATGTGACTCTGGCTGCGATCATCCCGAACCTCCAGAGCAGCTGGCAGAGCAGGGCGGCGGGCGGCATGGCCAGGTGCCCGGGTCGGATCAGACAACACGCCCTGCTGAAGAGAACCAGGGCCCAGGACAGGGACAGCAGGCACAGGCCGCAGGACAGAGCCACTGTGAAGGAGGACACCAGGGTAAGCATACAGTACACAGGCTAATGCAGGACACAACAGCTGTTTGGCACTTTACAGCCGCAGCCGCCCCACTGTGGCAACATGGTGTTCCCAGAGGTCTCCCATCACAGTACTAACCAGGCCCTGCCCTGCTTAGGTTCAGAGATCTATAGAACCGTTTCTAACAGAGCTGCTTGGATCTACTCCACCCTAATTGTGAGTGTTTTCCCCTCTCCGGTCTCTCTCTCTGGTCTCTCTCTCTGGTCTCTCTCTCTGGTCTCTCTCTCTGGTCTCTCTCTGGTCTCTCTCTCTGGTCTCTCTCTCTGGTCTCTCTCTCTGGTCTCTCTCTCTGGTCTCTCTCTCTGGTCTCTCTCTCTGGTCTCTCTCTCTGGTCTCTCTCTCTGGTCTCTCTCTCTGGTCTCTCTCTCTGGTCTCTCTCTGGTCTCTCTCTCTGGTCTCTCTCTCTGGTCTCTCTCCGGTCTCTCTCTGGTCTCTCTCTCTGGTCTCTCTCTGGTCTCTCTCTGGTCTCTCTCTCCGGTCTCTCTCTGGTCTCTCTCTCTGGTCTCTCTCTGGTCTCTCTCTGGTCTCTCTCTCTGGTCTCTCTCTCCGGTCTCTCTCTGGTCTCTCTCTCTGGTCTCTCTCTCTGGTCTCTCTCTCTGGTCTCTCTCTGGTCTCTGTCTGGTCTCTCTCTGGTCTCTCTCTCTGGTCTCTGTCTGGTCTCTTTCTGGTCTCTCTCTGGTCTCTCTCTCTGGTCTCTCTCTCTGGTCTCTCTCTGGCCTCTCTCTCTGGTCTCTCTCTGGCTCTCTCTCTCTGGTCTCTCTCTGGTCTCTCTCTCTGGTCTCTCTCTGGTCTCTCTCTGGTCTCTCTCTCTGGTCTCTCTCTGGTCTCTCTCTCTGGTCTCTCTCTGGTCTCTCTCTCTGGTCTCTCTCTCTGGTCTCTCTCTGGTCTCTCTCTCTGGTCTCTCTCTCTGGTCTCTCTCTGGTCTCTCTCTCTGGTCTCTCTCTGGTCTCTCTCTCTGGTCTCTCTCTGGTCTCTCTCTCTGGTCTCTCTCTGGTCTCTCTCTGGTCTCTCTCTGGTCTCTCTCTGGTCTCTCTCTGGTCTCTCTCTCTGGTCTGTCTCTCTGGTCTCTCTCTGGTCTCTCTCTCTGGTCTCTCTCTGGTCTCTCTCTCTGGTCTCTCTCTGGTCTCTCTCTGGTCTCTCTCTGGTCTCTCTCTCTGGTCTCTCTCTGGTCTCTCTCTGGTCTCTCTCTGGTCTCTCTCTGGTCTCTCTCTGGTCTCTCTCTCTGGTCTCTCTCTGGTCTCTCTCTGGTCTTCTCTGGTCTCTCTCTCTGGTCTCTCTCTGGTCTCTCTCTCTGGTCTCTCTCTGGTCTCTCTCTCTGGTCTCTCTCTCTGGTCTCTCTCTCTGGTCTCTCTCTGGTCTCTCTCTGGTCTCTCTCTCTGGTCTCTCTCTCTGGTCTCTCTCTCTGGTCTCTCTCTGGTCTCTCTCTCTGGTCTCTCTCTGGTCTCTCTCTGGTCTCTCTCTGGTCTCTCTCTGGTCTCTCTCTCTGGTCTCTCTCTCTGGTCTCTCTCTCTGGTCTCTCTCTCTCTCTCTCTCTGGTCTCTCTCTCTGGTCTCTCTCTCTGGTCTCTCTCTCTGGTCTCTCTCTGGTCTCTCTCTGGTCTCTCTCTGGTCTCTCTCTGGTCTCTCTCTGGTCTCTCTCTGGTCTCTCTCTGGTCTCTCTCTCTGGTCTCTCTCTCTGGTCTCTCTCTCTGGTCTCTCTCTGGTCCTCTCTCTCTGGTCTCTCTCTCTGGTCCTCTCTCTGTCTCTCTCTGGTCTCTCTCTGGTCTCTCTCTCTGGTCTCTCTCTGGTCTCTCTCTCTGGTCTCTCTCTGGTCTCTCTCTGGTCTCTCTCTGGTCTCTCTCTCTGGTCTCTCTCTCTGGTCTCTCTCTCTGGTCTCTCTCTGTCTCTCTCTCTGGTCTCTCTCTCTGGTCCTCTCTCTGGTCTCTCTCTCTGGTCTCTCTCTCTGGTCTCTCTCTGGTCTCTCTCTGGTCTCTCTCTCTGGGCTCTCTCTGGTCTCTCTCTCTGGTCTCTCTCTGGTCTCTCTCTCTGGTCTCTCTCTGGTCTCTCTCTCTGGTCTCTCTCTCTGGTCTCTCTCTCTGGTCTCTCTCTGGTCTCTCTCTCTGGTCTCTCTCTCTGGTCTCTCTCTGGTCTCTCTCTGGTCTCACCAGGAGACATGAGGCCCACATCAGTAGAGACCAGGACATAAGCCTGCAGGAGGCTCTGTGGGAGGGTGAGGACCAGGGCCTCCAGGAGCCACAGCGCAGCCACGTCCGCCTGCTGCATCACTGCTGCGCCCAGCTCTGCTCCAGACTCCTGCATGAGGAGGACGGAGCGCACGCAGTCCCAGAGCCTGCCACCAGAGGGAGACAAACACAACATCAGCTGTGAGCAGAGCCTGCCAACACACGCACACGGACACACATGCAACAGACACGCACGCGCACACACAAACACACACAGACACACACACACACACACACAAACCTGCCACACATGATTAATAATAGGGTCTTAAAGGGTCTACATGACCCAGGGCTGGTCAGGTTTAGAGTAATCCAAATTCAGCTTGAAAAAAAAAATAGTTTTCACCTGGACATACTGAAGGTGAGGAGGGGGAGACTGACCTCCTGAGGGTGAGGAGGGGGAGACTGACCTCCTGAGGGTGAGGAGGGGGAGACTGACCTCCTGAGGGTGAGGGGGGGAGACTGACCTCCTGAGGGTGAGGGGGGGAGACTGACCTCCTGAGGGTGAGGGGGGGAGACTGACCTCCTGAGGGTGAGGAGGGGGAGACTGACCTCCTGAGGGTGAGGGGGGGACTGACCTCCTGAGGGTGAGGGGGGGGAGACTGACCTCCTGAGGGTGAGGAGGGGAGACTGACCTCCTGAGGGTGAGGAGGGGGAGACTGACCTCCTGAGGGTGAGGAGGGGGAGACTGACCTCCTGAGGGTGAGGAGGGGGAGACTGACCTCCAAAGGGTGAGGGGGGGAGACTGACCTCCTGAGGGTGAGGGGGCGAGACTGACCTCTTGAGGGTGAGGAGGGGGAGACTGACCTCCTGAGGGTGAGGGGGAGACTGACCTCTTGAGGGTGAGGAGGGGGAGACTGACCTCCTGAGGGTGAGGGGGGGAGACTGACCTCCTGAGGGTGAGGAGGGGAGACTGACCTCCTGAGGGTGAGGAGGGGGAGACTGACCTCCTGAGGGTGAGGGGGGGAGACTGACCTCCTGAGGGTGAGGGGGGGAGACTGACCTCCTGAGGGTGAGGGGGGGAGACTGACCTCCTGAGGGTGAGGGGGGGAGACTGACCTCCTGAGGGTGAGGGGGGGAGACTGACCTCCTGAGGGTGAGGAGGGGAGACTGACCTCCTGAGGGTGAGGAGGGGGAGACTGACCTTCTGAGGGTGAGGAGGGGGAGACTGACCTCCTGAGGGTGAGGAGGGGGAGACTGACCTCCAAAGGGTGAGGGGGGGAGACTGACCTCCTGAGGGTGAGGAGGGGGAGACTGACCTCTTGAGGATGAGGAGGGGGAGACTGACCTCCTGAGGGTGAGGAGGGGGAGACTGACCTCCTGAGGGTGAGGAGGGAGAGACTGACCTCCTGAGGGTGAGGGGGGGGAGACTGACCTCTTGAGGGTGAGGAGGGGGAGACTGACCTCCTGAGGGTGAGGAGGGGGAGACTGACCTCCTGAGGGTGAGGAGGGAGAGACTGACCTCCTGAGGGTGAGGGGGGGGAGACTGTCTTGAGGGTGAGGAGGGGGAGACTGACCTCCTGAGGGTGAGGAGGGGGAGACTGACCTCCTGAGGGTGAGGGGGGGAGACTGACCTCCTGAGGGTGAGGAGGGGGAGACTGACCTCTTGAGGGTGAGGGGGGGAGACTGACCTCCTGAGGATGCCAAGGTGCAGGACGTGGGTGAGGGTGAGGGTGAGGAGGGGGGAGTCACCGTCGTCATAGAACCACTTGAGGCTCAGCAGCTGCAGCGCGGATCCAGGAAGGAACAGACCCAGAGTCAGAGCGCACCACTGGACCTCCTCGTTCCACAGGTAGAAGCCCATCACGTAGATCACTGACACACACACACACACACACAGACATACACACACACACATATACACACAGACATACACACACACATATACACACAGACACACACACATATACACACAGACACACACACACACACACACACACAGGGGAGAGACCAGAGGGTTTTGTTACAAACTGTGTGATGTCTGTTTGAAGAAAAACAAGAGAACCAGGGCCCAGGACATCATGTCGTTACCGTGTCGCTGCCGTGTGTCGTTGTCGTAACGTTGCTGTGTAGTTAGTCGTTACCGTGTCGCTACTGTGTTGCTACCGTGTCGTTACCGTGTCGCTGTCGTTGTCGTAACTTTGCTGTGTAGTTGTCGTTACCGTGTTGCTACCGTGTCGTTACCGTGTCGCTGCCGTGTGTCGTTGTCGTAACGTTGCTGTGTAGTTGTCGTTACCGTGTTGCTACTGTGTCGTTACCGTGTCGCTGCCGTGTGTCGTTGTCGTAACGTTGCTGTGTAGTTGTCGTTACCGTGTTGCTACTGTGTCGTTACCGTGTCGCTGCCGTGTGTCGTTGTCGTAACGTTGCTGTGTAGTTGTCGTTACCGTGTCGTTACCGTGTTGCTACTGTGTCGTTACCGTGTTGCTGCCGTAACGTTGCCGTGTTGTTACCGTGTAGTTAGTCGTTACCGTGTCGCTGCCGTGTGTCGTTGTCGTAACGTTGCTGTGTAGTTAGTCGTTACTGTGTCGTTACCGTGTCGCTGCCGTAACGTTAGTTACCAAAATATCTAGAAACCAACTTATTTTTGCAGATCAAAGTAAACAATCCAGTTTTTCAGAATCTGTTGTATTTAACACAGTCATAGAATATTCTGTGGGTTTGAGAATCAGTGAAATCGCCAAAACGGCTGCCAGTCAATGGGTTCATAATAATACAAATAAAAATAATAAATCAAACTTGTATAGTGCTTTTTGAACCCTCAAAGACACTTATCATGGGAATTAAATAAAATGTAATCCCTCCTGTGTTTAACAGTGAAAAATCAGAATAAACAAGATAAAAATGTAAATATATGAGCAGTGAGGAGTCAAGGGAAAAGGTATGACTCCTCCAGAGACACACACCAGAGACACACACTGAGACATCCTCTGTGAGACACACACAGACACACACTGAGACATCCTCTGTGAGACACACACAACCAAAGACACATGTTAACAGCAGTTGTGTTGTTGTGTGTCTGTTTAACGTGTGTACAGCAGTTGTGTTGTGTGTCTGTTAAACATGTTAACAGTTGTGTTGTTGTGTGTTAAACGTGTTAACAGCTATTGTGTTGTGTGTTTAACGTGTGTACAGCAGTTGTGTTGTTGTGTGTTAAACGTGTGTACAGCAGTTGTGTTGTTGTGTGTTAAACGTGTGTACAGCAGTTGTGTTGTTGTGTGTTAAACGTGTGTACAGCAGTTGTGTTGTTGTGTGTTAAACGTGTTAACAGCAGTTGTGTTGTTGTGTGTCTGTTTAACGTGTGTACAGCAGTTGTGTTGTTGTGTGTTTAACGTGTGTACAGCAGTTGTGTTGTTGTGTACAGCAGTTGTGTTGTTGTGTGTTAAACCTGTTTACAGCAGTTGTGTTGTTGTTGTGTGTTAAACGTGTGTACAGCAGTTGTGTTGTTGTGTGTTAAACCTGTGTACAGCAGTTGTGTTGTTGTTGTGTGTTAAACCTGTGTACAGCAGTTGTGTTGTGTGTTAAACCTGTGTACAGCAGTTGTGTTGTTGTTGTGTGTTAAACGTGTGTACAGCAGTTGTGTTGTTGTGTGTTAAACGTGTTAACAGCAGTTGTGTTGTTGTTGTGTGTTTAACGTGTTAACAGCAGTTGTGTTGTTGTTGTGTGTTTAACGTGTGTACAGCAGTTGTGTTGTTGTTGTGTGTTAAACGTGTGTACAGCAGTTGTGTTGTTGTGTGTTAAACCTGTGTACAGCAGTTGTGTTGTTGTTGTGTGTTAAACGTGTGTACAGCAGTTGTGTTGTTGTGTGTTAAACCTGTATACAGCAGTTGTGTTGTTGTTGTGTGTTAAACGTGTGTACAGCAGTTGTGTTGTTGTGTGTTAAACGTGTTAACAGCAGTTGTGTTGTTGTTGTGTGTTTAACGTGTGTACAGCAGTTGTGTTGTTGTTGTGTGTTTAACGTGTGTACAGCAGTTGTGTTGTTGTGTGTTAAACGTGTGTACAGCAGTTGTGTTGTTGTGTGTTTAACGTGTGTACAGCAGTTGTGTTGTTGTGTGTTAAACGTGTGTACAGCAGTTGTGTTGTTGTGTGTTTAACGTGTGTACAGCAGTTGTGTTGTTGTTGTGTGTTTAACGTGTGTACAGCAGTTGTGTTGTTGTTGTGTGTTTAACGTGTGTACAGCAGTTGTGTTGTTGTGTGTTAAACCTGTGTACAGCAGTTGTGTTGTTGTGTGTTAAACGTGTTAACAGCAGTTGTGTTGTTGTGTGTTTAACGTGTGTACAGCAGTTGTGTTGTTGTTGTGTGTTTAACGTGTGTACAGCAGTTGTGTTGTTGTTGTGTGTTTAACGTGTGTACAGCAGTTGTGTTGTTGTGTGTTAAACCTGTGTACAGCAGTTGTGTTGTTGTGTGTTAAACGTGTTAACAGCAGTTGTGTTGTTGTGTGTTTAACGTGTGTACAGCAGTTGTGTTGTTGTTGTGTGTTTAACGTGTGTACAGCAGTTGTGTTGTTGTTGTGTGTTTAACGTGTGTACAGCAGTTGTGTTGTTGTGTGTTAAACCTGTGTACAGCAGTTGTGTTGTTGTGTGTTAAACGTGTTAACAGCAGTTGTGTTGTTGTGTGTTTAACGTGTGTACAGCAGTTGTGTTGTTGTTGTGTGTTTAACGTGTGTACAGCAGTTGTGTTGTTGTTGTGTGTTTAACGTGTGTACAGCAGTTGTGTTGTTGTTGTGTGTTTAACGTGTGTACAGCAGTTGTGTTGTTGTTGTGTGTTTAACGTGTGTACAGCAGTTGTGTTGTTGTGTGTTAAACGTGTGTACAGCAGTTGTGTTGTTGTGTGTTTAACGTGTGTACAGCAGTTGTGTTGTTGTGTGTTAAACGTGTGTACAGCAGTTGTGTTGTTGTGTGTTTAACGTGTGTACAGCAGTTGTGTTGTTGTTGTGTGTTTAACGTGTGTACAGCAGTTGTGTTGTTGTTGTGTGTTTAACGTGTGTACAGCAGTTGTGTTGTTGTGTGTTAAACCTGTGTACAGCAGTTGTGTTGTTGTGTGTTAAACGTGTTAACAGCAGTTGTGTTGTTGTGTGTTTAACGTGTGTACAGCAGTTGTGTTGTTGTTGTGTGTTTAACGTGTGTACAGCAGTTGTGTTGTTGTTGTGTGTTTAACGTGTGTACAGCAGTTGTGTTGTTGTGTGTTAAACCTGTGTACAGCAGTTGTGTTGTTGTGTGTTAAACGTGTTAACAGCAGTTGTGTTGTTGTGTGTTTAACGTGTGTACAGCAGTTGTGTTGTTGTTGTGTGTTTAACGTGTGTACAGCAGTTGTGTTGTTGTTGTGTGTTTAACGTGTGTACAGCAGTTGTGTTGTTGTGTGTTAAACCTGTGTACAGCAGTTGTGTTGTTGTGTGTTAAACGTGTGTACAGCAGTTGTGTTGTTGTTGTGTGTTTAACGTGTGTACAGCAGTTGTGTTGTTGTTGTGTGTTTAACGTGTGTACAGCAGTTGTGTTGTTGTTGTGTGTTTAACGTGTGTACAGCAGTTGTGTTGTTGTGTGTACAGCAGTTGTGTTGTTGTGTGTACAGCAGTTGTGTTGTTGTGTGTTAAACGTGTGGCACCTTTAACCTTGATCGGACACATCTGAAACACAAACACAAACTGGAGCAAAGGAAAAGGCTTCAGAGGAAACAGCGGTGAGCAACTGTAGAAGTGTTTGTTATTATCCTTTAGCTTTAGCTTTAGCCACAGATGCTAACGTCAACACAACATCAACACAAATAAAAACAAAACCTTCACATGTGTGTGTTTAGAGTCAGCTGATGCTTTTGTAAACATTTTATATTTAACATATATTTAAATAAAACCCCTGACTCTCTGACATGCATCCGCCTGTCCCACCGTGCATCCCCGCTCCTCTACCCCGACTTACGAGCGCCTCTCTCGGCCACGATGAGCAACGCGGACAGCCCCAGCAGCAACGCCTGACAGCCCGCGGCACAGCAGCCTGCGCCCCCGCGGCCCCGGGGCACGGCGGGGGGCATCATCGCGGGGCACGGAGGGGGCTGGGAGGGAGCGGCCCGGGCCGTGAGGAGGAGGCTCTGGCGCGGGGCATCCTGCAGTCTCCTCCGCTGCAGCCTCGCTCCCGGTGCGCGTCTGTGCGCGACTGTCTGCGTCACGGTGACCGCGGCTCTTAAAGAGACAGAGACCAGTTTGTGTTCACGCTGGAGGAAACTGAAGGACACTCTACACTACTCTACTCTACCCTACCCTACTCTACTCTACTCTACCCTACTCTACTCTCTACCCTACTCTACTCTACTCTACTCTCTACCCTACTCTACTCTACTCTACTCTCTACCCTACTCAACTCTCTACCCTACTCTACTCTACTCTACTCTCTACCCTACTCAACTCTCTACCCTACCCTACTCTACTCTACTCTACTCTGCCCTACTCTACCCTACTCTACTCTACCCTACCCTACTCTACCCTACCCTGCTCTACTCTACTCTCTACCCTACTCTACTCTACTCTGCCCTACCCTACCCTACTCTACCCTACTCTACTCTACTCTACTCTCTAATCTACCCTACCCTACCCTACTCTACTCTAATCTACCCTACCCTACCCTACCCCGGTATATAAATATAGATTACTTACTTCCAATCAGCTCTCAGTGCGTAGACTATTACATGCTCTCTCATTTATTTATTTCACTTTATTGATTTTATTGATTAATCTAACAAGAACACAACCAACAGTTATAGCTGAGGCTGATTTGTGACTTTTATTCATTCATTCATTTTCATCCCTTTTATTATTAGTCCACTTAAAAGACTGGCAGCAGGACACAAATAAAAAAATATTTCAAATGTTTAAATTCTCATTATATAAAGCTCTTCAATGAAGCTTAAAACTGTTTTCTTTGTAGAGAAAAGGTTTCAGTTTGTGTTTGAAACCAGCTTTGTCCCGGGACCTCAGACTGACAGCAGGGGGCGCCACTGTGCAGGCATTTCTACTCCCATTCACAAAGACAGAGTTTAAGAAAAGGATCAAATCTAAAACAAAGGTCTCTGCAGCAGCTCCGGGGTTTCTTATCGTCTTTGTGTGGTTATAATTATTTTATTGTTAATATTTTTTAATCGGATAATTGGTATTTTATTGTTTTTACTTTGTGCATAATGTTTTACTCCAAACATGAATATTTAAATGTGTTGATGTAATGTCTGTGCAGCTCTCTGGAAACTTAATAAAATGTGTTCTATATAAATAAAGTGGATTTACAGCATGTTGTGGTCTGTTCACAAAATGTTACAAGAAAAAAATATATTTATCAAAAAAACAAAGTCATGAACTCCAGTTTGTTCAAACTTTTTCACCCTTTGAAGTTCTCTCCTTGAAGAAAGTAATGTTTTCTTCTTGGATTTTCGCACTAATAATATCAATAACTAGTTTTTTTAGTTTTGTCCTTTTGATGATCCTGTCTCTCTCTGGCCTGGGAACGCGTCAGGATTCCCCCAGATGAGCTGCAGTAGGTGACTGTGGAGAGGGAGTGCTGCCTCCACAACCCGGCAACGGATAAAGCGGAGGAAATGGATGAATGGGCAGCGGTGATGATCCCGGACACTCGGCCTCTGCTCCTCATGGACCAGTGTCTCTGTGTTTGAGCTGTTTGATTCTCTGATCTGTTGTTGAAGAATCGACAGTTTTGTGAAGTCCTCAGTGATAACGACTGATTACTTTATTATTCTCTACTGATTTAGGAATATTCACAAATACATTGCATTGAATTGAATCTAAAAGCAGCCAGAGAGAGATGGGTTTGTGCTTCCTGGAGCTAGCTAGCGTGTTAGCCAGCGTGTTAGCATCCATCTGCCACAGTCTGTGAGTAAGAGATGGTAACAGAGATGGATGTGGTCGGGACGTTCTCACCGCCCACCTGCCTCCACAGAGCCACATATGACTCGGGCTCGTCTCGGTCTCTTTCTGGTGAACTCTCTTTAGCCGTGACTTAACCACACGCGACACTTTCACATTCACACAGAGCCTTTGTCAGCACTTTCCAGCCCCTGACGTCGCGGATAAAAACAACAGCAGCTGAAGTAGAAAATGATGCAAACGTGGCTCACATCTGGGTCCGACACATCTGGGTCGCACACATCTGGGTCGCTGGGTCGCACACATCTGGCTGGGTCGCACACATCTGGGTCGCTCACATCTGGGTCCGACACATCTGGGTCGCACACATCTGGGTCGCACACATCTGGGTCGCACACATCTGGGTCGCTCACATCTGGGTCGCACACATCTGGCTGGGTCGGACACATCTGGGTCCGACACATCTGGGTCGCACACATCTAGGTCGCGCACATCTGGGTCGCACACATCTGGGTCGCACACATCTGGGTCGCGCACATCTGGGTCGCTCACATCTGGGTCCGACACATCTGGGTCGCACACATCTGGGTCGCACACATCTGGGTCGCACACATCTGGGTCGCTCACATCTGGGTCGCACACATCTGGCTGGGTCGGACACATCTGGGTCCGACACATCTGGGTCGCACACATCTAGGTCGCGCACATCTGGGTCGCACACATCTGGGTCGCACACATCTGGGTCGCGCACATCTGGGTCGCTCACATCTGGGTCCGACACATCTGGGTCGCACACATCTGGGTCGCACACATCTGGGTCGCACACATCTGGGTCGCACACATCTGGGTCGCACACATCTGGGTCGCACACATCTGGGTCGCACACATCTGGGTCGCACACATCTGGGTCGCACACATCTGGGTCGGACACATCTGGGTCGCACACATCTGGGTCGCACAAATCTGGGTCGCACACATCTGGGTTGCACACATCTGGGTCGCACACATCTAGGTCGCGCACATCTGGGTCGCACACATCTGGGTCGCACACATCTGGGTCGCGCACATCTGGGTCGCTCACATCTGGGTCCGACACATCTGGGTCGCACACATCTGGGTCGCACACATCTGGGTCGCACACATCTGGGTCGCACACATCTGGGTCGCACACATCTGGGTCGCACACATCTGGGTCGGACACATCTGGGTCGGAAACATCTGGGTCGCACACATCTGGGTCGCACACATCTGGGTCCGACACATCTGGGTCGCACACATCTGGGTCGCACACATCTGGGTCGCACACATCTGGGTCGCTCACATCTGGGTCCGACACATCTGGGTCGCACACATCTGGGTCGCACACATCTGGGTCGCACACATCTGGGTCGCTCACATCTGGGTCGCACACATCTGGCTGGGTCGGACACATCTGGGTCCGACACATCTGGGTCGCACACATCTAGGTCGCGCACATCTGGGTCGCACACATCTGGGTCGCACACATCTGGGTCGCGCACATCTGGGTCGCTCACATCTGGGTCCGACACATCTGGGTCGCACACATCTGGGTCGCACACATCTGGGTCGCACACATCTGGGTCGCACACATCTGGGTCGCTCACATCTGGGTCGCACACATCTGGCTGGGTCGGACACATCTGGGTCCGACACATCTGGGTCGCACACATCTAGGTCGCGCACATCTGGGTCGCACACATCTGGGTCGCACACATCTGGGTCGCGCACATCTGGGTCGCTCACATCTGGGTCCGACACATCTGGGTCGCACACATCTGGGTCGCACACATCTGGGTCGCACACATCTGGGTCGCACACATCTGGGTCGCACACATCTGGGTCGCACACATCTGGGTCGCACACATCTGGGTCGCACACATCTGGGTCGGACACATCTGGGTCGGAAACATCTGGGTCGCACACATCTGGGTCGCACACATCTGGGTCGGACACATCTGGGTCGCACACATCTGGGTCGCACACATCTGGGTCGCACACATCTGGGTCGCACACATCTGGGTCGGACACATCTGGGTTGCTCACATCTGGGTCGCACACATCTGGGTCGCACACATCTGGGTCGGACACATCTGGGTCGGAAACATCTGGGTCGCACACATCTGGGTCGCACACATCTGGGTCGGACACATCTGGGTCGCACACATCTGGGTCGCACAAATCTGGGTCGCACACATCTGGGTCCGACACATCTGGGTCGCTCACATCTGGGTCGCACACATCTGGGTCCGACACATCTGGGTCGCTCACATCTGGGTCGCTCACATCTGGGTCGCACACATCTGGGTCCGACACATCTGGGTCGCACACATCTGGGTCGCGCACATCTGGGTCGCGCACATCTGGGTCGCACACATCTGGGTCCGACACATCTGGGTCGCACACATCTGGGTCGCTCACATCTGGGTCGCACACATCTGGGTCCGACACATCTGGGTCGCACACATCTGGGTCGCACACATCTGGGTCGCACACATCTGGGTCGCACACATCTGGGTCGCACACATCTTGGTCGGACACATCTGGGTCGGAAACATCTGGGTCGCACACATCTGGTTCGCACACATCTGGTTCGCTCACATCTGGTTCGCACACATCTGGGTCGCACACATCTGGGTCGCACACATCTGGGTCCGACACATCTGGGTCGCACACATCTGGGTCGCACACATCTGGTTTGCTCACATCTGGGTCGCACACATCTGGGTCGGACACATCTGGGTTGCACACATCTGGTTCGCTCACATCTGGGTCGCACACATCTGGGTCGGACACATCTGGGTCGCACACATCTGAGTCGCACACATCTGGGTCGCACACATCTGGGTCGGACACATCTGGGTCGCACACATCTGGTTCGCACACATCTGGGTCGCACACATCTGGGTCGCACACATCTGGGTCGCACACACCTGGGTCGCTCACATCTGGGTCGGACACATCTGGGTCGCACACATCTGGGTCGGACACATCTGGGTCGCACACATCTGGGTCGCACACATCTGGGTCGGACACATCTGGGTCGCACACATCTGGGTCGGACACATCTGGGTCCGACACATCTAGGTCGCGCACATCTGAGTCGCACACATCTGGGTCGCACACATCTGGGTCGGACACATCTGGGTCGCACACATCTGGTTCGCACACATCTGGGTCGCACACATCTGGGTCGCACACATCTGGGTCGCACACACCTGGGTCGCTCACATCTGGGTCGGACACATCTGGGTCGCACACATCTGGGTCGGACACATCTGGGTCGCACACATCTGGGTCGGACACATCTGGGTCGCACACATCTGGGTCGCACACATCTGGGTCGCACACATCTGGGTCGCACACATCTGGGTCCGACACATCTGGGTCGCGCACATCTGGGTCGCGCACATCTGGGTCGCACACATCTGGGTCGCTCACATCTGGGTTGCACACATCTGGGTCCGACACATCTGGGTCGCACACATCTGGGTCGCTCACATCTGGGTCGCACACATCTGGGTCGCACACATCTGGGTCGCACACATCTGGGTCGCACACATCTGGGTCGCACACATCTGGGTCGCACACATCTGGGTCGCACACATCTGGGTCGGACACATCTGGGTCGGAAACATCCTGGGTCGCACACATCTGGTTCGCACACATCTGGGTCGCACACATCTGGTTCGTCACATCTGGTTCGCACACATCTGGGTCGCACACATCTGGGTCGCACACATTTGGGTCCGACACATCTGGGTCGCACACATCTGGGTCGCACACATCTGGGTCGGACACATCTGGGTTGCACACATCTGGTTCGCTCACATCTGGGTCGCACACATCTGGGTCCGACACATCTGGGTCGCACACATCTGGGTCGCGCACATCTGGGTCGCGCACATCTGGGTCGGACACATCTGGGTCGGACACATCTGGGTCGGACACATCTGAGTCGCACACATCTGGGTCGCACACATCTGGGTCGGACACATCTGGGTCGCACACATCTGGTTCGCACACATCTGGGTCGGACACATGTGGGTCGGACACATCTGGGTCGCACACATCTAGTTCGCACACATCTGGGTCGCACACATCTGGTTCGCTCACATCTGGTTCGCACACATCTGGGTCGCACACATCTGGGTCGCACACATCTGGGTCGCACACATCTGGGTCGCACACATCTGGGTCGCACACATCTGGGTTGCACACATCTGGGTCGCGCACATCTGGGTCGGACACATCTGGGTCGGACACATCTGGGTTGCACACATCTGGTTCGCTCACATCTGGGTCGCACACATCTGGGTCCGACACATCTGGGTCGCACACATCTGGGTCGCACACATCTGGTTCGCACACATCTGGGTCGCACACATCTGGTTCGCTCACATCTGGTTCGCACACATCTGGGTCGCACACATCTGGGTCGGACACATCTGAGTCGCACACATCTGGGTCGCACACATCTGGGTCGGACACATCTGGGTCGCACACATCTGGGTCGCACACATCTGGGTCCGACACATCTGGGTCGCACACATCTGGGTCGCACACATCTGGTTTGCTCACATCTGGGTCGCACACATCTGGGTCGGACACATCTGGGTTGCACACATCTGGGTCGCTCACATCTGGGTCGCACACATCTGGGTCGCGCACATCTGGGTCGCACACATCTGTGTTGCACACATCTGGGTCGCACACATCTGGGTCGCACACATCTGGGTTGCACACATCTGGGTCGCACACATCTGGGTCGCACACATCTGGGTCGCGCACATCCGGGTCGCACACATCTGGGTCGCGCACATCTGGGTCGCGCACATCTGGGTCGGACACATCTGGGTCGCACACATCTGGGTCCGACACATCTGGGTCGCACACATCTGGGTCGCACACATCTGGGTCGCACACATCTGGGTCGCACACATCTGGGTCCGACACATCTGTGTTGCACACATCTGTGTTGCACACATCTGGGTCGCACACATCTGGGTCGCACACATCTGGGTCGCACACATCTGGGTCGCACACATCTGGGTCGGACACTGATGGTTTAGGCCTTTAGCTGTATTTTAACTCTCTGTTTAGCCTCTTTTTAGCAATGTTTTTATACTTTATTGATTTTATTACATTTTCTTGAACCTGCTTTTAGTTCAGTACTTTTTAAACCGGGTCAAAAAACAGTTTTCTACGCATGACGTAAATCCAAGAATTCCACAAATTAACCCACGGGTGAAATTCCAGCTTGCCTTAGCAACCGTCTCAGGAACTGCCTTAGCAACCGTCAAAGAAACCACCTTAGTAACTACCTTAGCAACCACCTTAGCTACTGTCTAATTCACCCTCTTTGTAACCGCCTTAGCAACTGCCTTAGGAACCGTCTAAGGAACCAACTCAGTAACCACCTTAGCAACCGTCTAAGGAACCATCTTAGCAACCGTCTAAGGAACCACCTTAGTTACCACCTTAGCAACCGACTAAGGAACCACCTTAGCAACCGTCTAAGGAACCAACTTAGGCTATATCCACACGAAGACAAAACGCTTATAATTTCAGAAACTTTTTCTGTAAACACGGAGTTAGCTCAGTAAATGTGTGCGTCCATATGAATGTAGTCAATACGCCTGAAAACGCTGTGAAACTATGCCAGACCTGTTGGTGGCGCTGTGACGCAATGACGGGATCAAGCCCAAACTTCCGTGACGGGAACTGGGCATGTGCAGAATTGTGTAAACAGACAACATGGCGAGTGGGCGAGCTGGTACTACATTAGTATGGACGGACGATGAGGTTGAACTGTTGCTTCGGGTCGCACTGGATTACAAAACCAACAAGCTACATTGTTGTTGTCATTATTTTATGAGTGCGGCGCATGCTGCTTTAACAAGAGGCGGGGCGATGACGCAAGCGTCTCAGATACATTGCGGAGAGGCAGTAACCACGGAGCGGCATATACGGAGTTTTGAAATCTTTCCACTCTGGGACCTACTTTCAAAAATGTTCGTTTACACCCCCCCAAAACGCCGGCCTCGTATGGACGATACACTGGATTGATAAAGTATTTTTGCGTTTAGGCTTGAGCTTGACTTCGTGTGGACAGGGCCTTAGTTACCACCTTAGCAACCGTCTAAGGAACCACCTTAGCAACCGTCTAAGGAACCACCTTATTAACCGCCTCAGCAACCGCCTTAGGAACTGCCTTAGCAACCGTCTAAGCAACCACTTTAAGAACCACCTCAGCAACCGCCTTAGCAACACGTCTTAGCAACACGTCTTAGCAACACGTCTTAGCAACCACCTTAGCAACACGTCTTAGCAACCACTTTAGCAACACGTCTTAGCAACCACCTTAGCAACACGTCTTAGCAACCACCTTAGCAACCACCTTAGCAAGACGTCTTAGCAACCACCTTAGCAAAACGTCTTAGCAACCACCTTAGCAACACGTCATAGCAACCACCTTAGCAACACGTCTTAGCAACCATCTTAGCAACCGTCTTAGCAACACGTCTTAGCAACACGTCTCAGCAACATGTCTGCCCCTGTTGAGGTGCAAAGCTACAGGATCCCAGTCTGAACAAATGCCCATATAAGGAAATTGGCTCCAGCTCATTTGTTTATTATTTATTTCATAATGGTTCCCAATCATTTTTATCCTGAATTATTCAATTCTGCGACAGTAGCTCAGTTGGTAGAGCACAGGCCTTTGAGCCTGAAGGTCACGGGTTCAAGCCCACCACGGGACCGACTCCCACTGATGACTGCTGTCGTTGTGTCCTTGGGCAAGACACTTAACCCTGCATTGCCTGAAGCCCCCGCTGAAAAATCAAGGCCGTCCTCCTGTGGACTCACCATCTGCAGAGGATCAGTGAGGGGCTCTGACTGCCACCCCCCCGACCCCCCCCGGATATTCAATTCTTACCAAACGGTTCGGTGCAGTTTGATGTAAAAGTGCCTAAAACCAAACTCAAAGTAGAAACCATGAAACATGTGGTGGTGCGGTGGCTGAGTGGTTAGCACTCTCGTTTCTCAGCAAGAAGGTTCTGGGTTCAAATCCCGGTCTCTCTGAGTGGAGTTTGCATGTTCTCCCTGTGTCTGCGTAGGTTTCCTCCGGGTACTCCGGTTTCCCCTACCACTACAAACATGCCCAATAGTTCAGGGTGAATGAGTGTGACTGTGGGACGACAGATGGAAATGAACCCAACGCTTCAGTCCAGAGAGATGTGTTCATGAACACGTACTGTCCCAACCAAGTAAACTATAATTACAAACAAAAACCATCAAAGGTTAAAGGTGAAAGGGTTAAAAATGGCCGCACTCGACTCAGGGCAAAATCCTGTTTATTTTTTCTGTAAAAGTACAACACAAAGATTACATCCAAATATTATAATAAAATAAATTAAACGTCAAACATTACAGACTGTAGAAAGATCAGTGGGCCGCACTGGGGGCGGAGCCTGCAGAGGCCGCACTGGGGGCGGAGCCTACAGAGGCCGCACTGGGGGCGGAGCCTACAGAGGCCGCACTGGGGGCGGAGCCTGCAGAGGCCGCACTGGGGGCGGAGCCTACAGAGGCCGCACTGGGGGCGGAGCCTGCAGAGGCCGCACTGGGGGCGGAGCCTGCAGAGGCCACGCTGGGGGCGGAGCCAACAGAGGATCAAGGATTAGGAGTTTCTCAAGACGTGGGGTGCGGACACTTTCTCTTCACACACATCTGAGACCTGAGAGTCTGATGGGGGCTGATGAGGACTGATGGGGGCTGATGAGGGCTGATGGGGGCTGATGAGGGCTGATGAGGGCTGATGAGGGCTGATGGGGGCTGATGGGGGCTGATGAGGGCTGATGAGGGCTGATGGGGGCTGATGGGGGCTGATGAGGGCTGATGAGGGCTGATGGGGGCTGATGAGGACTGATGGGGGCTGATGGGGGCTGATGGGGGCTGATGAGGGCTGATGAGGGCTGATGAGGGCTGATGGGGGCTGATGAGGGCTGATGAGGGCTGATGGGGGCTGATGGGGGCTGATGAGGGCTGATGAGGGCTGATGGGGGCTGATGAGGGCTGATGGGGGCTGATGGGGGCTGATGAGGACTGATGGGGGCTGATGGGGGCTGATGGGGGCTGATGAGGGCTGATGAGGGCTGATGAGGGCTGATGAGGGCTGATGGGGACTGATGAGGGCTGATGGGGGCTGATGAGGGCTGATGAGGGCTGATGAGGGCTGATGAGGGCTGATGAGGGCTGATGGGGGCTGATGGGGGCTGATGAGGGCTGATGAGGACTGATGAGGGCTGATGAGGGCTGATGAGGGCTGATGAGGGCTGATGAGGGCTGATGAGGGCTGATGGGGGCTGATGAGGGCTGATGAGGGCTGATGAGGACTGATGAGGGCTGATGAGGACTGATGGGGGGCTGATGAGGACTGCTGAGGGCTGATGAGGACTGATGAGGACTGATGGGGGCTGATGAGGACTGATGGGGAATGATGGGGGCTGATGAGGGCTGATGAGGACTGATGAGGACTGATGGGGGCTGATGAGGGCTGATGAGGACTGATGAGGACTGATGAGGGCTGATGGGGGCTGATGAGGACTGATGAGGGCTGATGAGGGCTGATGAGGACTGATGAGGACTGATGGGGGCTGATGAGGACTGATGGGGAATGATGGGGAATGATGAGGGCTGATGAGGGCTGATGAGGACTGATGGGGGCTGATGAGGGTTAATGGGGGCTGATGAGGGTTAATGGGGGCTGATGGGGGATTGATGAGGGCTGATGGGGTCTGATGAGGACTGATGGGGGCTGATGGGGGCTGATGAGGACTGATGGGGGCTGATGGGGGCTGATGAGGGTTAATGGGGGCTGATGGGGGACTGATGAGGGCTGATGGGGTCTGATGAGGGCTGATGGGGAATGATGAGGACTGATGAGGGCTGATGGGGAATGATGAGGACTGATGAGGACTGATGAGGACTGATGGGGGCTGATGAGGGCTGATGAGGGCTGATGAGGGCTGATGAGGGCTGATGAGGGCTGATGAGGACTGATGGGGGCTGATGGGGGCTGATGAGGGTTAATGGGGGCTGATGGGGGACTGATGAGGGCTGATGGGGTCTGATGAGGGCTGATGGGGAATGATGAGGACTGATGAGGGCTGATGGGGAATGATGAGGACTGATGAGGGCTGATGAGGGCTGATGGGGGCTGATGGGGGCTGATGAGGGTTAATGGGGTTTGATGGGGGACTGATGAGGGACTGATGAGGGCTGATGAGGGCTGATGGGGGCTGATGAGGGCTGATGGGGAATGATGGGGAATGATGAGGGCTGATGAGGGCTGATGAGGACTGATGGGGGCTGATGAGGGTTAATGGGGGCTGATGGGGGACTGATGAGGGCTGATGGGGTCTGATGAGGACTGATGAGGGCTGATGAGGGCTGATGAGGGCTGATGAGGACTGATGGGGGCTGATGAGGGTTAATGGGGGCTGATGGGGGACTGATGAGGGCTGATGGGGTCTGATGAGGGCTGATGAGGGCTGATGGGGAATGATGAGGACTGATGAGGGCTGATGGGGAATGATGGGGGCTGATGGGGGCTGATGAGGGTTAATGGGGTTTGATGGGGGACTGATGAGGGACTGATGAGGGCTGATGGGGGCTGATGAGGACTGATGAGGGCTGATGAGGGCTGATGAGGGCTGATGAGGGCTGATGAGGGCTGATGAGGGCTGATGAGGACTGATGGGGGCTGATGAGGGTTAATGGGGGCTGATGGGGGACTGATGAGGGCTGATGGGGTCTGATGAGGACTGATGAGGGCTGATGAGGGCTGATGGGGAATGATGAGGACTGATGAGGGCTGATGAGGGCTGATGGGGGCTGATGAGGGTTAATGGGGGCTGATGGGGGACTGATGAGGGCTGATGGGGTCTGATGAGGGCTGATGGGGAATGATGAGGACTGATGAGGGCTGATGAGGACTGATGGGGGCTGATGAGGGTTCATGGGGGATGATGGGGGACTGATGAGGGCTGATGGGGTCTGATGAGGACTGATGAGGGCTGATGAGGGCTGATGAGGGCTGATGAGGGCTGATGAGGGCTGATGAGGACTGATGGGGGCTGATGAGGGTTAATGGGGGCTGATGGGGGACTGATGAGGGCTGATGGGGTCTGATGAGGGCTGATGGGGAATGATGAGGACTGATGAGGGCTGATGGGGAATGATGGGGGCTGATGGGGGCTGATGAGGGTTAATGGGGTTTGATGGGGGACTGATGAGGGCTGATGAGGGCTGATGGGGGCTGATGGGGGCTGATGAGGGTTAATGGGGTTTGATGGGGGACTGATGAGGGACTGATGAGGGCTGATGGGGGCTGATGAGGGCTAAAGAGGGCTGATGGGGGCTAATGAGGGATGGTTAGGGTGAGTCTTTGGTCCTGGTGCTTTAAGGCTTAGTGGTTCTGGTCCATAGTTCTCTTTGGTCTGGAGATGCCACATGGTAAGATCCGGCCTCGGTCTCTGTAACATGAGTCCGTCTTCGCTCACGCCTCCTCCTTTATCACCTCCTTTATCGCCTCCTCTTGTGGGCGTGTGGAGAGGTGGCTGTGCTCCATGGTCCGGACCAGCTGGTACACGCTGGCCTTCTTCAGGTCCATCTCCGCAGCCACAGCCTCCAGCCTCTCGGCCGTTTCGCTCACGTCAAAGAGCTCGATCTCAGCGTTGACGCGGTGGAGGTCGTCAGCGGAACACTGGGCGCCGGGCGACATGGGACAGAACCCCTGAAACCAGAACACACACAAGACTTAGTATGTGAACATGTGGCCAAAAGTGGTACTGCAGCCTCTCCCACTCTGAGGCTGTAGACCCAAGACTGAGGCTGTAGACCCAGGACTGAGGCTGTAGACCCAGGACTGAGGCTGTAGACCCAGGACTGAGGCTGTAGACCCAGGACTGAGGCTGTATAGACCCAAGACTGAGGCTGTAGACCCAAGACTGAGGCTGTAGACCCAGGACTGAGGCTGACCTGTAGACCCAGGACTGAGGCTGTGGACACACAACACACACAACTATACAACTGTGTGAGACACACAACACACACACTATACAACTGTAGAGACCCACTCCACTGAGGCTGTCCACTGAGGCTGTGGACACACAACACACACTATACAACAGGACTGAGGACCCACTGTGAGGCTGTGGACACACAACACACACAACCCAACTGTAGAGACCCACTCCACTGAGGCTGTGGACACACAACACACACAACTATACAACTGTAGAGACCCACTCCACTGAGGCTGTGGACACACAACACACACAACTATACAACTGTAGAGACACTCCACTGAGGCTGTGGACACACAACACACACAACTATACAACTGTAGAGACACTCCACTGAGGCTGTGGACACACAACACACACAACTATACAACTGTAGAGACCCACTCCACTGAGGCTGTGGACACACAACACACACAACTATACAACTGTAGAGACCCACTCCACTGAGGCTGTGGACACACAACACACACAACTATACAACTGTAGAGACACTCCACTGAGGCTGTGGACACACAACACACACAACTATACAACTGTAGAGACCCACTCCACTGAGGCTGTGGACACACAACACACACAACTATACAACTGTAGAGACCCACTCCACTGAGGCTGTGGACACACAACACACACAACTATACAACTGTAGAGACACTCCACTGAGGCTGTGGACACACAACACACACAACTATACAACTGTAGAGACCCACTCCACTGAGGCTGTGGACACACAACACACACAACTATACAACTGTAGAGACCCACTCCACTGAGGCTGTGGACACACAACACACACAACTATACAACTGTAGAGACCCACTCCACTGAGGCTGTGGACACACAACACACACAACTATACAACTGTAGAGACCCACTCCACTGAGGCTGTGGACACACAACACACACAACTATACAACTGTAGAGACCCACTCCACTGAGGCTGTGGACACACAACACACACAACTATACAACTGTAGAGACCCACTCCACTGAGGCTGTGGACACACAACACACACAACTATACAACTGTAGAGACCCACTCCACTGAGGCTGTGGACACACAACACACACAACTATACAACTGTAGAGACCCACTCCACTGAGGCTGTGGACACACAACACACACAACTATACAACTGTAGAGACCCACTCCACTGAGGCTGTGGACACACAACACACACAACTATACAACTGTAGAGACCCACTCCACTGAGGCTGTGGACACACAACACACACAACTATACAACTGTAGAGACACTCCACTGAGGCTGTGGACACACAACACACACATCTATACAACTGTAGAGACACTCCACTGAGGCTGTGGACACACAACACACACAACTATACAACTGTAGAGACCCACTCCACTGAGGCTGTGGACACACAACACACACAACTATACAACTGTAGAGACCCACTCCACTGAGGCTGTGGACACACAACACACACAACTATACAACTGTAGAGACCCACTCCACTGAGGCTGTGGACACACAACACACACAACTATACAACTGTAGAGACACTCCACTGAGGCTGTGGACACACAACACACACAACTATACAACTGTAGAGACCCACTCCACTGAGGCTGTGGACACACAACACACACAACTATACAACTGTAGAGACCCACTCCACTGAGGCTGTGGACACACAACACACACAACTATACAACTGTAGAGACACTCCACTGAGGCTGTGGACACACAACACACACAACTATACAACTGTAGAGACCCACTCCACTGAGGCTGTGGACACACAACACACACAACTATACAACTGTAGAGACCCACTCCACTGAGGCTGTGGACACACAACACACACAACTATACAACTGTAGAGACACTCCACTGAGGCTGTGGACACACAACATACAACTGTAGAGACCCACTCCACTGAGGCTGTGGATACACAACACACACAACTATACAACTGTAGAGACCCACTCCACTGAGGCTGTGGACACACAACACACACAACTATACAACTGTAGAGACACTCCACTGAGGCTGTGGACACACAACACACACAACTATACAACTGTAGAGACCCACTCCACTGAGGCTGTGGACACACAACACACACAACTATACAACTGTAGAGACACTCCACTGAGGCTGTGGATACACAACACACACAACTATACAACTGTAGAGACACTCCACTGAGGCTGTGGACACACAACACACACAACTATACAACTGTAGAGACCCACTCCACTGAGGCTGTGGACACACAACACACACAACTATACAACTGTAGAGACACTCCACTGAGGCTGTGGACACACAACACACACAACTATACAACTGTAGAGACCCACTCCACTGAGGCTGTGGACACACAACACACACAACTATACAACTGTAGAGACCCACTCCACTGAGGCTGTGGACACACAACACACACAACTATACAACTGTAGAGACACTCCACTGAGGCTGTGGACACACAACACACACAACTATACAACTGTAGAGACACTCCACTGAGGCTGTGGACACACAACACACACAACTATACAACTGTAGAGAGACACTCCACTGAGGCTGTGGACACACAAACACACAACTATACAACTGTAGAGACACTCCACTGAGGCTGTGGACACACAACACACACAACTATACAACTGTAGAGACCCACTCCACTGAGGCTGTGGACACACAACACACACAACTATACAACTGTAGAGACACTCCACTGAGGCTGTGGACACACAACACACAACTATACAACTGTAGAGACACTCCACTGAGGCTGTGGACACACAACACACACAACTATACAACTGTAGAGACACTCCACTGAGGCTGTGGACACACAACACACACAACTATACAACTGTAGAGAGACACTCCACTGAGGCTGTGGACACACAACACACACAACTATACAACTGTAGAGACACTCCACTGAGGCTGTGGACACACAACACACACAACTATACAACTGTAGAGACCCACTCCACTGAGGCTGTGGACACACAACACACACAACTATACAACTGTAGAGACCCACTCCACTGAGGCTGTGGACACACAACACACACAACTATACAACTGTAGAGAGACACTCCACTGAGGCTGTGGACACACAACACACACAACTATACAACTGTAGAGAACACTCCACTGAGGCTGTGGACACACAACACACACAACTATACAACTGTAGAGAGACACTCCACTGAGGCTGTGGACACACAACACACACAACTATACAACTGTAGAGAGACACTCCACTGAGGCTGTGGACACACAACACACACAACTATACAACTGTAGAGACACTCCACTGAGGCTGTGGACACACAACACACACAACTATACAACTATACAACTGAGTGACACACAACACACCACTGACAACTGTGAGACACCCACTGACTGTGGACACACAACACACACAACTATACAACTGTAGAGACACTCCACTGAGGCTGTGGACACACAACACACACAACTATACAACTGTAGAGACCCACTCCACTGAGGCTGTGGACACACAACACACACAACTATACAACTGTAGAGACACTCCACTGAGGCTGTGGACACACAACACACACAACTATACAACTGTAGAGACCCACTCCACTGAGGCTGTGGACACACAACACACACAACTATACAACTGTAGAGAGACACTCCACTGAGGCTGTGGACACACAACACACACAACTATACAACTGTAGAGAGACACTCCACTGAGGCTGTGGACACACAACACACACAACTATACAACTGTAGAGAGACACTCCACTGAGGCTGTGGACACACAACACACACAACTATACAACTGTAGAGACCCACTCCACTGAGGCTGTGGACACACAACACACACAACTATACAACTGTAGAGACCCACTCCACTGAGGCTGTGGACACACAACACACACATCTATACAACTGTAGAGACCCACTCCACTGAGGCTGTGGACACACAACACACACAACTATACAACTGTAGAGACACTCCACTGAGGCTGTGGACACACAACACACACAACTATACAACTGTAGAGACACTCCACTGAGGCTGTGGACACACAACACACACAACTATACAACTGTAGAGACCCACTCCACTGAGGCTGTGGACACACAACACACACAACTATACAACTGTAGAGACCCACTCCACTGAGGCTGTGGACACACAACACACACAACTATACAACTGTAGAGAGACCCACTCCACTGAGGCTGTGGACACACAACACACACAACTATACAACTGTAGAGACACTCCACTGAGGCTGTGGACACACAACACACACAACTATACAACTGTAGAGACACTCCACTGAGGCTGTGGACACACAACACACACACAACTATACAACTGTAGAGACACTCCACTGAGGCTGTGGACACACAACACACACAACTATACAACTGTAGAGACACTCCACTGAGGCTGTGGACACACAACACACACAACTATACAACTGTAGAGACCCACTCCACTGAGGCTGTGGACACACAACACACACAACTATACAACTGTAGAGACCCACTCCACTGAGGCTGTGGACACACAACACACACAACTATACAACTGTGTAGAGACCCACTCCACTGAGGCTGTGGACACACAACACACACAACTATACAACTGTAGAGACACTCCACTGAGGCTGTGGACACACAACACACACAACTATACAACTGTAGAGACCCACTCCACTGAGGCTGTGGACACACAACACACACAACTATACAACTGTAGAGACCCACTCCACTGAGGCTGTGGACACACAACACACACAACTATACAACTGTAGAGACACTCCACTGAGGCTGTGGACACACAACACACACATCTATACAACTGTAGAGACACTCCACTGAGGCTGTGGACACACAACACACACAACTATACAACTGTAGAGACCCACTCCACTGAGGCTGTGGACACACAACACACACAACTATACAACTGTAGAGACCCACTCCACTGAGGCTGTGGACACACAACACACACAACTATACAACTGTAGAGACCCACTCCACTGAGGCTGTGGACACACAACACACACAACTATACAACTGTAGAGACACTCCACTGAGGCTGTGGACACACAACACACACAACTATACAACTGTAGAGACCCACTCCACTGAGGCTGTGGACACACAACACACACAACTATACAACTGTAGAGACCCACTCCACTGAGGCTGTGGACACACACACACACACAACTATACAACTGTAGAGACACATAACACTCCACTCCACTGAGGCTGTGGACACACAACACACACAACTATACAACTGTAGAGAACACTCCACTGAGGCTGTGGACACACAACACACACAACTATACAACTGTAGAGACCCACTCCACTGAGGCTGTGGACACACAACACACACAACTATACAACTGTAGAGACCCACTCCACTGAGGCTGTGGACACACAACACACACACATACAACTGTAGAGACACACTCCACTGAGGCTGTGGACACACAACACACACAACTATACAACTGTAGAGACACTCCACTGAGGCTGTGGACACACAACACACACAACTATACAACTGTAGAGACACTCCACTGAGGCTGTGGACACACAACACACACAACTATACAACTGTAGAGACCCACTCCACTTAGGCTGTGGAACACAACACACACAACTATACAACTGTAGAGACCCACTCCACTGAGGCTGTGGACACACAACACACACAACTATACAACTGTAGAGAGACACTCCACTGAGGCTGTGGACACACAACACACACAACTATACAACTGTAGAGACCCACTCCACTGAGGCTGTGGACACACAACACACACAACTATACAACTGTAGAGACCCACTCCACTGAGGCTGTGGACACACAACACACACAACTATACAACTGTAGAGACCCACTCCACTGAGGCTGTGGACACACAACACACACAACTATACAACTGTAGAGACACTCCACTGAGGCTGTGGACACACAACACACACAACTATACAACTGTAGAGACCCACTCCACTGAGGCTGTGGACACACAACACACACATCTATACAACTGTAGAGACCCACTCCACTGAGGCTGTGGACACACAACACACACAACTATACAACTGTAGAGACACTCCACTGAGGCTGTGGACACACAACACACACAACTATACAACTGTAGAGACCCACTCCACTGAGGCTGTGGACACACAACACACACAACTATACAACTGTAGAGACCCACTCCACTGAGGCTGTGGACACACAACACACACAACTATACAACTGTAGAGACCCACTCCACTGAGGCTGTGGACACACAACACACACAACTATACAACTGTAGAGACCCACTCCACTGAGGCTGTGGACACACAACACACACAACTATACAACTGTAGAGACCACTCCACTGAGGCTGTGGACACACAACACACACAACTATACAACTGTAGAGACCCACTCCACTGAGGCTGTGGACACACAACACACACAACTATACAACTGTAGAGAGTATTATATTAAAAAATGACGTGTTCAAAATCCCTTATAAAGATGACCATGATTCAGGAAGTTAAATTCAAAAAGGTTTATTTCCCTAATACAAAAAGAATCTAAAACAGCTGTTCGGACCAAAAGTAACTATCCCTTATTCTCTATATAAAATATAAAAGTATGATTTTGGTGGGCGCTCCACGCAAATCACACTCCTGTCCCTGGTCCGGTCTAGACTAACACAAGCATGAGGTTATTATAAGTAAATGTGCATGAAGAAGGGGGCGTGTCGTATCAGGCAGATGTCTGGTCCAAGGTCCGGCCTTTTCCTCCGTCTCGCCAAACCTGAACAGAAATCATTCACGCACTACCCCTCCCTAATTCTATAGATTTATTAGTTCCTCTGAGATAAGGCAGAGGGATCTCGAGGCTTCTCCTCCAGATTCTGGACTCCATCTCCTTCTTTCACAACTTGAAAGGATTAGCAGAATCCCCCCAGATTAACTATCATTAACTCACCCATGCACTTTGGACAAAATGGGACAAGGGGAGTTGGGCAATACAAGGTCTTTCTTTTTGCTTGGAGACAGACAGAGTTCAATTTCAGGTCAATCTAATTCACATCGCCTTTTAGCCTATATTTAATACAACAAGAGACACTCCACTGAGGCTGTGGACACACAACACACACAACTATACAACTGTAGAGACCCACTCCACTTACAACACACACAACTATACAACTGTAGAGAGACACACACTCCACGAAGGCTGTGGACACACAACACACACAACTATACAACTGTAGAGAGACACACACTCCACTGAGGCTGTGGACACACAACACACACAACTATACAACTGTAGAGAGACACACACTCCACTGAGGCTGTGGACACACAACACACACAACACACAACTGTAGAGAGACTATAGGAGCCAGAGAGTTGGAGCTAGAGGGTTAGCATTGGGCTGGCGGGTTAGCATTGGGCTGGCGGGTTAGCATTGGGCTGGCGTGTTAGCATTGAGCTAGCGTGTTAGCATTGAGCTAGCGTGTTAGCATTGAGCTAGCGTGTTAGCATTGAGCTAGCGTGTTAGCATTGAGCTAGCGTGTTAGCATTGAGCTAGCGTGTTAGCATTGAGCTAGCGTGTTAGCATTGAGCTGGCGTGTTAGCATTGAGCTAGCGTGTTAGCATTACTCCTTACTTCAGCAGGTACGCAGCAGCGATGTGCAGCAGGTAGAGGCTGATGTACTGCAGCTGCCGCGGGATCTCCTCCTGCAACACAGAGGCGTGTTGTTTGGACCCGTGTCAGAGAGAGACACCAGAGAGAGAGACACCAGAGAGAGAGTCACCAGAGACCAGAGAGAGACCAGAGAGAGACCAGAGAGAGACCAGAGAGAGACCAGAGAGAGAGACCAGAGAGAGAGACCAGAGAGAGAGACCAGAGAGAGACCAGAGAGAGACCAGAGAGAGAGACCAGAGAGAGGAGACCAGAGAGAGACCAGAGAGAGACCAGAGAGAGACCAGAGAGAGAGACACCAGAGAGAGAGTCACCAGAGACCAGAGACACCAGAGACCAGAGAGAGAGACCAATCAGAGAGACCAGAGAGAGACCAGAGAGAGACCAGAGAGAGACCAGAGCGAGACTAGAGAGAGACCAGAGAGAGAGACACCAGAGAGAGAGTCACCAGAGACCAGAGAGAGACACCAGAGACCAGAGACCAGAGAGAGAGACCAATCAGAGAGACCAGAGAGAGACCAGAGAGAGACCAGAGAGAGACCAGAGAGAGACCAGAGAGAGACCAGAGAGAGACCAGAGAGAGACCAGAGAGAGACCAGAGAGAGAGACCAGAGAGAGAGACCAGAGAGAGAGACCAGAGAGAGAGACCAGAGAGAGAGACCAGAGAGAGAGACCAGAGAGAGACCAGAGAGAGACCAGAGAGAGACCAGAGAGAGAGACCAGAGAGAGACCAGAGAGAGAGACCAGAGAGAGAGACCAGAGAGAGACCAGAGAGAGACCAGAGAGAGACCAGAGAGAGAGACACCAGAGACCAGAGAGAGACACCAGAGACCAGAGACACCAGAGACCAGAGAGAGAGACCAATCAGAGAGACCAGAGAGAGACCAGAGAGAGACCAGAGAGAGACCAGAGCGAGACTAGAGAGAGACCAGAGAGAGAGACACCAGAGAGAGAGTCACCAGAGACCAGAGAGAGACACCAGAGGACCAGAGACCAGAGAGAGAGACCAATCAGAGAGACCAGAGAGAGACCAGAGAGAGACCAGAGAGAGACCAGAGAGAGACCAGAGAGAGACCAGAGAGAGACCAGAGAGAGACCAGAGAGAGAGACCAGAGAGAGAGACCAGAGAGAGAGACCAGAGAGAGAGACCAGAGAGAGAGACCAGAGAGAGAGACCAGAGAGAGAGACCAGAGAGAGACCAGAGAGAGACCAGAGAGAGACCAGAGAGAGAGACCAGAGAGAGAGACCAGAGAGAGAGACCAGAGAGAGACCAGAGAGAGAGACCAGAGAGAGACCAGAGAGAGACCAGAGAGAGAGACCAGAGAGAGACCAGAGAGAGAGACCAGAGAGAGAGACCAGAGAGAGAGACCAGAGAGAGACCAGAGAGAGAGACCAGAGAGAGACCAGAGAGAGACCAGAGAGAGAGACCAGAGAGAGACCAGAGAGAGACCAGAGAGAGAGACCAGAGAGAGACCAGAGAGAGAGACCAGAGAGAGAGACCAGAGAGAGACCAGAGAGAGACCAGAGAGAGACCAGAGAGAGAGACACCAGAGAGAGAGTCACCAGAGACCAGAAAGAGACACCAGAGACCAGAGACACCAGAGACCAGAGAGAGAGACCAATCAGAGAGACCAGAGAGAGACCAGAGAGAGACCAGAGCGAGACCAGAGAGAGACCAGAGAGAGAGACACCAGAGAGAGAGTCACCAGAGACCAGAGAGAGACACCAGAGACCAGAGAGAGAGACCAATCAGAGAGACCAGAGAGAGACCAGAGAGAGACCAGAGAGAGACCAGAGAGAGACCAGAGAGAGACCAGAGAGAGACCAGAGAGAGACCAGAGAGAGAGACCAGAGAGAGAGACCAGAGAGAGAGACCAGAGAGAGAGATCAGAGAGAGATCAGAGAGAGACCAGAGAGAGACCAGAGAGAGACCAGAGAGAGACCAGAGAGAGAGACCAGAGAGAGAGACCAGAGAGAGAGACCAGAGAGAGAGAGACCAGAGAGAGAGACCAGAGAGAGAGACCAGAGAGAGAGACCAGAGAGAGAGACCAGAGAGAGAGACCAGAGAGAGACCAGAGAGAGACCAGAGAGAGACCAGAGAGAGACCAGAGAGAGAGACCAGAGAGAGACCAGAGAGAGACCAGAGAGAGACCAGAGAGAGACCAGAGAGAGACCAGAGAGAGAGACCAGAGAGAGACCAGAGAGAGACCAGAGAGAGACCAGAGAGAGTATCATAAACACACCTTTCTGACTTTCTGAAAGTACAGCTCTGGTAGCGCGTGTAGCCAGTAAGCTAACTGTGTGAGGTAAAAGAACTTCACCTGGAACCTGCAGCGGCACCAGAAACACACAAGAAAACACACATGGTCATTTATATGCCGTGGTTTCACAGTTTATGTACGTTTGAAGTATTTACCTTAAATGTACGTGAGGATAGTTTTCCCAAAGGCTGCTGGGATGTAACAGATATCCCTCCTGCAAAAACATACCACACACACTCAAAAGTATTCACACCCCTGAGGGAAAGCATTGGTTAGCCCCGCCCCTTCTCACCCCTGCAGCCTCCTGATTGGTCTGACTGGCATTGGTTTAAGTGGTTTTCCTGGAGTTATGGCGAGAGGAGCGGCCATTTTTAATATTGTCCAGTGGAAGAAGACGGGCTGCATCTCGATGTCAGAAATCTACACTTTTACTGATGACTGAAAATACATTGTTTTAACCATTTTCTTCTCTGTCTGCGTCATTGTCTGGGTTTGGCTGTACACACTGTTTTAATGAGCCAGCAGGGGGCAGCAGAGCTCACAGACAGAGACCATGTGGAGGGTCAGAGCAGACAGAGACCATGTGGAGGGTCAGAACAGCAGACAGAGACCATGTGGAGGGTCAGAGCAGCAGACAGAGACCATGTGGAGGGTCAGAGCAGACAGAGACCATGTGGAGGGTCAGAGCAGACAGACCATGTGGAGGGTCAGAGCAGACAGAGACCATGTGGAGGGTCAGAGCAGCAGACAGAGACCATGTGGAGGGTCAGAGCAGCAGACAGAGACCATGTGGAGGGTCAGAGCAGACAGAGACCATGTGGAGGGTCAGAGCAGCAGACAGAGACCATGTGGAGGGTCAGAGCAGACAGAGACCATGTGGAGGGTCAGAGCAGCAGACCAGGAGCCAGCGGTAAAGTCTGGTTATCGTTGTAATGTTATTCTGTGATTGACATAAATATAGCGCCACCTAATGGTGAATACTGGCCACTCTCTCTGCCATAGTTTGTCATGGGCTCTACTTTCAATAGGAACATTTTGACGTTTACTTTTTGAAATATTCCATATTCTAACCCTAACACTTTGTGGATGTGGTGTGTGTGCCATAAAACTTATTATTGTGCATCAAAAACACTCAGAACGTGTTAATGTTTTCTAACATGTAAGATCCTGGACATGTTTGAGGAGACGCTAAAGTTAAATTAAACAATTTTACAGTCACTTTTCTTCAGATTCGTCTGTTTTCACAAACACCTTTCTTTTTGTCTCAGACTGGTGATGTCACACACTCTTTTCCACTGGAGATCACAGGAGATCGGAACAAGTTAGAAACAAACTTCTTTTTGCTGCTGAAAGTCGACAATCCAGGCTTTCAGACTCTGGTTTAACATCACACGTGACATCACACGTGACATCACACGTGACGTGAGGAGGAGAGACTTACGGAGAGCAGGACGTAGAGGCTCCACACGCTCGACACCAGGTGGAACACACACAGCTGTCCAGACTCATTAAACTTTGTGTTTTTACTTTTGGAAAGATGAAGACGTCTGTTCACCTTCTGCAACAACAGACACACACGTTACAGTAGAGACACACACACACACAGGTTACAGTAGACACACACACGTTACAGTAGAGACACACACACAGGTTACAGTAGAGACACACACACAGGTTACAATAGAGACACACACACAGGTTACAGTAGACACACACAGGTTACAGTAGAGACAAACACACACAGGTTACAGTAGAGACAAACACACACAGGTTACAGTAGAGACAAACACACACAGGTTACAGTAGAGACAAACACACAGAGACAGAGACACACACACTCACACACCTCCCTCCCTCCCTCCCTCCTCAGAGTGAGACGCCGGGACCAGGACGAGACACAGTTCATGAGGAACAGAAGAACGTGGCCTATTTGTGAACAATGCTCCTGGATCAGGTTCTCACTCGTCACAGTCTCCACCTTCAGACCCAGGACCCACGGCCTCCCCCCGGCCTCCCCTCAGACTCTCCCAGACTCACGTCCAGCAGATATTCCTGAACCACAGCGTGGAGGATGATGACGATGAAGATGTAGAAGAGCACAGCAGCCCAGTCCTTCACTCCGTAATGATACACACTCAGCTCTCCGTCTGCAACACACAACACAACTGTGAGCGTGTGTGTGCGTGTGTGTGCATGTGTGGGCATGTGTGTGCGTGTGCATGCGTGTGCATGTGTGTGCGTGTGCGTTTGTGTGCATGTGTGTGTGTGTGTGTGTCCTGACCTGCCAACAGTGTGGTGACGTTGTACTGTGGCTGGATGAACAAAATGGCCGTCTTGGCAGTGGCCTAAAAGTGAAACATAAAAGAATTAACAAAACATTCACGTCAGAATTACACCAGTCCTAAACCTCGTCCTAAACCGTCGTCCTAAACCGTCCTCATAAACAGTCGTCCTAAACCGTCCTCATAAACCGTCGTCCTAAACCGTTTTCATAAACTGTCGTCCTAAACCGTCCTCATAAACTGTCGTCCTAAACCGTCCTCATAAACCGTCGTCCTCATAAACCGTCGTCCTAAACAGTCGTCCTAAACCGTCCTCATAAACCGTCCTCATAAACCGTCGTCCTAAACCGTCCTCAAACCGTCCTAAACCGTCCTCAAACCGTCCTCATAAACCTCGTCCTAAACCGTCCTCATAAACCGTCGTCCTAAACCGTCCTCAACCGTCCTCATAAACCGTCGTCCTAAACCGTCCTCATAAACCCATCCATCCATCCATCCATTTTCTTCCGCTTTATCCGTTGCCGGGTCGCGGGGGCAGCAGTCTAAGCAGAGACGCCCAGACTTCCCTATCCACACACACCTCCTCCAGCTCGTCCGGGGGGACCCCAAGCGTTCCCAGGCCAGCTGAGAGACATAGTCCCTCCAGCGTGTCCTGGGTCTTCCCCGGGGCCTCCTCCCGGTGGGACGTGCCCGGAACACCTCCCCAGGGAGGCGTCCAGGAGGCATCCGGAACAGATGCCCGAGCCACCTCAACTGGTTCCTCTCGACGTGGAGTAGCAGCGGTTCTACTCCGAGCTCCTCCCGTGTGACCGAGCTCCTCACCCTATCTCTAAGGGAGCAGCCACTCTGCGGAGGAAGCTCATTTCGACCGCTTGTATCCGCGATCTTGTTCTTTCGGTCATTACCCAAAGCTCATGACCATAGGTGAGGGAGGGGACGAAGATTGACCGGTAAATTGAGAGCTTTGCCTTTCGGCTCAGCTCTCTCTTTACCACAACGGTCCGACCGCGACCGCATCACTGCGCACGCTGCACCGATCCGCCTGTCAATCTCACGCTCCATCCTTCCCTCACTCGTGAACAAGACCCCGAGATACTTGAACTCCTCCACTTGAGGAAGGGCCTCTCCACCCACCCGTCCTCATAAACAGTCGTCCTAAACCGTCCTCAAACCGTCCTCATAAACCGTCGTCCTAAACCGTCCTCATAAATTGTCCTCATAAACTGTCGCTCTGATGACAGTCTTTCTCCGGTGAAGCATATTTACAAAAAGGAATTTTAAAAAAACACGTTTGGACAGAAGCAGCTCAAGTATTTGTGCTGAGACGTAACCTTTACTGCTAGTGTCCACAGGAGGCGCTACAGCACGTACATAAGTCACATGTTTCCATGGGAACCACATCTGATATTTACACCAGTGTTGTATGTGACGGACATGACGCGAGGCTGCGCCTAACTTAGAAGGGATTTCTAATTTGCGTGCATGGAAACATGATTTTCTAGAAGCCCTTCACACACACACACACACACACACACACACATCCCCCCTGTAGTACTGACTATTACCTCCAGGGGGCTCTTAAGCACAGCGTGAGTCGTTGTTGAAAATGCTTTTGGCAGTGTAAAAGGAATGACTCGGACACTGAACATGTGAAGTCACTGGTGCTGACTGTGCTCTGCACCATCAGTGAAAACCATGGAGAGACCATGTGACAGAATGGGACACACCTGTAGCAACAGCAGCTGTGTAGCACTGGTGCAGAGGAGGGCTATCTGATGCTTGTCATTTGCCTAAACATTTATTTTGACCAAAAATAAAACCTTTTGGTATTTACCAAATGTCTCCATCCTTGTTCATAAATGTCCCAATGTTATAAAGATTTACTGACAAATATAAAGTATGTAGTAAAAGTACATAAGTACAGTGCCTTGCGAAAGTATTCGGCCCCTTGAACCTTTCAACATTTTGCCACATTTCAGGCTTCAAACATAAAGATATAAGAATTAATTTTTTTGTCAAGAATCAACAAGTGGGACACAATCGTGAAGTGGAACAAAATGTATTGGATAATTTAAACTTTTTTAACAAATAAAAAAACTGAAAAGTGGGGCGTGCAATATTATTCGGCCCCTTGCGCTAATACTTTGTAGCGCCACCTTTTGCTGCAATTACAGCTGCAAGTCGCTTGGGGTATGTCTATCAGTTTTGCACATCGAGAGACTGGAATTCTTTCCCATTCTTCCTTGCAAAACAGCTCGAGCTCAGTGAGGTTGGATGGAGAGCGTTTGTGAACAGCAGTCTTCAGCTCTTTCCACAGATTCTGGATTGGATTCAGGTCTGGACTTTGACTTGGCCATTCTAACACCTGGATACGTCTATTTGTGAACCATTCCATTGTAGATTTGGCTTTATGTTTTGGATCATTGTCCTGTTGGAAGATAAATCTCCGTCCCAGTCTCAGGTCTTTTGCAGACTCCAACAGGTTTTCTTCCAGAATGGTCCTGTATTTGGCTCCATCCATCTTCCCATCAATTTTAGCCATCTTCCCTGTCCCTGCTGAAGAAAAGCAGGCCCAAAGCATGATGCTGCCACCACCATGTTTGACAGTGGGGATGGTGTGTTCAGGGTGATGAGCTGTGTTGCTTTTACACCAAACATATCGTTTTGCATTGTGGCCAAAAAGTTTGATTTTGGTTTCATCTGACCAGAGCACCTTCTTCCACATGTTTGGTGTGTCTCCCAGGTGGCTTGTGGCAAACTTTAAACCAGACTTTTATTGGATATCTTTGAGAAATGGCTTTCTTCTTGCCACTCTTCCATAAAGGCCAGATTTGTGCAGTGCATGACTGATTGTTGTCCTATGGACAGACTCTCCCACCTCAGCTGTAGTTATCTGCAGTTCATCCAGAGTGATCATGGGCCTCTTGGCTGCATCTCTGATCAGTCTTTTCCTTGTTTGAGATGAAAGTTTGGAGGGACGGCCGGGTCTTGGTAGATTTGCAGTTGTCTGATACTCCTTCCGTTTTAATATAATTGCTTGCACAGTGCTCCTTGAGGATGTTTAAAGCTTGGGAAATATTTTTGTATCCAAATCCGGCTTTAAACTTCTCCACAACAGTATCTCGGACCTGCCTGGTGTGTTCCTTTGTCTTCATGGTTCTCTCTGCGCTTTAAACAGAACCCTGAGACTATCAAAGAGCAGGTGCATTTATACGGAGACTTATTACACACAGGTGCATTCTATTTATCATCATCAGTCATTTAGGACAACATTGGATCATTCAAAGATCCTCACTGAACTTCTGGACTGAGTTTGCTGCACTGAAAGTAAAGGGGCCCAATAATATTGCATGCCCCACTTTTCAGTTTTTTATTTGTTAAAAAAAGTTTAAATCATCCAATAAATTTCGTTCCACTTCACGGTTGTGTCCCACTTGTTGTTGATTCATGACAAAAAATTAAAATTTTATATCTTTATGTTTGAAGTCTGAAATGTGGCAAAATGTTTTAAGGTTCAAGGGGGCCGAATACTTTCGCAAGGCACTGTATGTGTGAGACCAGGTCCAGGCCAGGTCCAGATGAGAATACTCCGGTCACTCATTACTCGTTGGTAATCTTCACACTTATGGAAAGGGATTCTCAAACAAATATACACACGACAACTTAAATACAAGCACAAAACAGAATGACAACACATGAATACTGCAGATAATACGAGATCAAGCACAGTAGCACAGGGAGGACGTTAGCTTAGCTGCTATCGATAGCTAAATGATGCTAAATGTAGCTAGCTCACTGTGTACAACAGACAATCGAGCATGTACACAGTAAATACATTTCAGTGAGAGCTTTAACAGGATTCGTATCTAACCAGTTATTTCAGGATTACCACAGACTAGTCACAAATCCAGAGCTGGTGATCTCCTGAAAACTGTGTTGAGCCTCGAGCTGCCTTTGAATTCTTTCTTTGGCCTGAAGAGAGGAACGTGTGGACCTCTTCCACCGACCAGGAAAAAGACTTTTGGGGCTTTCTGTGCAATTCCATTTCTCTGGAGTGAGGAGGACGTAATGTAGCCGAAGCAGAGCCGAGCAGAGCAGCCTGTTTTAAAGATGGCGGTTGAGTTGTTTTTACCAAAGGGTCAGATGTCGCTTCCAGTGACGACACTCGTTGACCAATCAGTGTGAGGCAGTGGGCCGACGTGACGTCATGGTACGGGTACTATGGGGATGGAACCACGGCTGAGGCAGTACGGAAAAATACACAAATCTCCCATTCCATCCACAAGTGGAAACACAAAATAACCGTGCTGAAGCGTACTGTACCGTACTGATACTGTGGAAAAGCGGCATAAGAGGATTCATCATTGTTACTGATGAGACCGATGATGGTGGTGTCATCAGCATATTTGACGATCAAGTTTGAGTCAGAGGAGGACACACAATCGTGAGTGTAATAGGTGAGAGAAGGGAGCTCTGACTGCAGACGCTGCTCCCTCTTCACCACGACGGTGCACCGATCCGCCTGTCAATCTCACACTCCATCCTTCCCTCACTCGTGAATAAGACCCTGAGATACTTGAACTCCTTCACTTGAGGAAGGACCAGGACCCGGAGAGGACCAGGACCTGGAGAGGGCAAGGCACCATTTTTTCCGGTCGAGCACCATGGCCTCGGATTTGGAGGTGCTGATTCTCATCCCAGCCGCTTCACACTCGGCCGCAAACCGTCCCAGTGCATGTTGCAGGTCCTGGTTCGTTGGAGCCAACAGGACAACATCGTCTGCAAACAGCAGAGATGAAATCCTGTGGTCTCTGAACCGGACCCCCTCCGGCCCCTGGCTGCGCCTAGAAATTCTGTCCATAAAGACAGTGAACAGAACCAATGACAAAGGGCAGCCCTGGCGGAGGCCAACATTCACCGGAACAGGTCTGACTTACTGCTGATGAACGCAGCTCTGACTCCGGTCATACAGGGACCGGACGGCCCCAAAGGACACCCCGGGGAACACGGTCGAACACCTTCTCCACAAAGCACATGTGGACAGGTTGGGCGAACTCCCATGAACCCTCGAGTATCCGATGGAGAGTATAGAGCTGGTCCAGTGTTCCGCGACCGGGACGAAAACCACACTGCTCCTCCTGAATCCGAGATTTGACCATCGGCCGTAGCCTCCTCTCCAGTACCTTGGAGTAGACCTTACCAGGGAGGCCGAGGAGGGTGATCCCACGATAATTGGAGCACACCCTCCGATCCCCCTTCTTGTAGAGAGGGACCACCACCCCGGTCTGCCACTCCATTGGCACCGCCCCCGATCGCTACGCGATGTTGCAGAGACGTGTCAGCCAAGACAGTCCTACAACATCCAGAGACTTTAGATAGTCAAGACGGATCTCATCCACACCCGGAGCCTTGCCACCATGGAGGCTGCCAACCACCTTGGTGACCTCTGCCAGGGAGATGGATGTATCCGCCCCAACATCCTCAGCCTCCAGGACGGAGGACGTGACGGGGGGATTGAGGAGAACCTCGAAGTATTCCTTCCACCGTCCGACAGTATCCCCAGTCGAGGTAAGCAGCTCTCCACCCGCACCGTACATGGTGTTGGCAAAGAACTGCTTCCCCCTCCTGAGGCGCCGGATGGTTTGCCAGAACCTCTTTGAGGCTGCACGCTTGGCCTGCCGGTACTGGACAGCTGCCTCAGGAGTCCCCCGAACCATCATGGCTCGATAGGACTCCTTCAGCCTGACAGCATCCCTTACGATAATAATAATGATAATAATAACTCCTGGGCTCTGGAACGACCTGCTGAGATGAGGCGGTGTCACTTTGACCAAACGGCCTCCAACAGTTTTACACTTAATGTTGTATTTTAATAATAATGACAAAACAATTGGGGCGACAGTAGCTCAGTTGGTAGAGCATTGGCCTTAAGGCCAGAAGGTCGTGGGTTCAATTCCCAACTCTACACCTTCTCCACCGACTCCCACTGATGACTGCTGTCGTTGTGTCCTTGGGCAAGACACTTAACCCCACTTTGCCCAAAGCCCCCACTGAAAGATCAAGGCTATGCTCACACTCAGAGAGCAGCCGTCCTCCTGTGGACTCACCACCTGCAGAGGGTCAGTGAGGGGCTGGTGCTATGAGACTTGGGTGGCATCTCTGACTGCCACCCCCCTGACCCAGAAATGGATTAAAGGGTAGAAAATGGATGGATGGATGGACAAAACAATTGCTTTTATTCAGCGCTTTCTGGACTCTCAAAGTCTCTTCACACCATTGTTCTTTCTCTCCAAACACGGTGGTGATAAACTGCTACTGTAGCCACAACTGCCCTAGGGCAGCTGGTGGGAAGCCCCTCCCACCACCACCAACCATTCACACACACACCAGACTCATTCTAATGTGGGGGAAGTGTCTTGCCTAAGGACACAACCACAGTTTGGCACTTTACAGCTGCAGCCGCCCCACTGTGGCACCTGCTGTTCCTAGAGGTCTCCCATCACAGCACTAACCAGGCCCTGCCCTGCTTAGTTTCAGAGGTCAGACAGGATCTTTTGCGTAGAGCACTGGGCTCTACGCAAAAGATAACATTAAAAATCTAATAATCCAATCTAATAAAAATCTAATATTATGAAAACATGTGATTTACTTTAAACCGCAGCAGCTAAATACCCATTTATAAATATTTAAACACATTCAAATAGAAACACAGTAAACCAACAACCAACATAAAAACAGATTTTCTCAGTAATAATTCATAAATACGCAGTGAAAGAAAACTATTAAACTGTTTTGGTAAAGAAATGGAACCATAACAACCAATAAAACACTAAATCTAACTTTTAAATGCCCGAGTCCAGAGGCTACAGCGGTTCACAGATTGAGACGTGGCAGTCGGCAAAGACCGTCAAGCTCACGGAAGTCCGCGTCCGCACTTCCGGTAGCGCCACCAAAATAAAACAGTTACCAAAGGAATCGCACTCCACGCTTTTACTCTGAAAGCTCTACATTTGGATGTTACGCGACTAGTTTCAAACACACACATACTTTCATTGTCAACACTTGCAGGGGAATTTCTTATGTATAATAATGTTTTACGTAAGTTTATGGATCGAAAAGAAGGAAGTTGCACATGCTAGCTTTACACCGTAACTGAAAGACCGCATACTTCTCACAAAAATGCCAAATTAAAAGCTTTCCAAACAGAATAAGTGAAGTAAAGTCAGTTGAGAGCATTTAAGTTCAGTTTGAAGCTTGTTTTGGCGTCGCTGCTGTAAACTTCTAAAACACGTTGACA